ATGTGGCTTGGTTCTGGGGCAGAGGAAACCACTGCCTATAACTCAGTGTCACACAGCTCTTTTAATGGTCTTCTCCAGAACAGCGTTGACATCTGAAAATGGATCCCAGTGCCATCTGCTTACGTTCTGAAGGACTGTAACATGGGAACACCGCTTTCTCGGGACGTGGAGGCAGGAGCACTGTTTATACAAACTGCCAGATCCGTGACTGTCAGTTCCTTTCCAGGTGTAAAACAAACAGCAATTTCTCTCTGCATGTTCAGGGTCTGTCGTGGCTCTCCTCACATTGCCATCAAGGGAGAAGACGAGAGCTGAGGAAACAGACATCATTGCTGACTTTAAGGATTATAATTTCTTATCTAGAAATCTAATTTTTGTTTTTAAGATGACTTATCTTTCATCCCACACAAAATTCAAAATGGATCAGAGACCTTAATGTAAGACCTGAAACACCAAAATTGATAGAGAAAAATAATTTCACAGAGGGAAATCGTCTCAAGATCGTGATTGGTAAAACCTTTCTGATCAGAACTCCAATAGCGCAGGGACACAGCCCCCAAGGACTGGCAAGTGGGGTTACATGAAATTATGAAGTTTCTGTCCGGCAGAGAAACGATCATCAGCGTGAACAGACAGCCTGCAGAATGGGAGAGGATCGCTGGTAGCTATGCTTTGAACAGGGGGCCAATATCTAGAATACACAGAAAAGTGGAAAAACTAAACACCAAAAGTTCAAAACTGCTTATCAATAAATGGGCCAACGAACTAAACAGAGTTCTCAAAAGAAGAAATACAAATGGCTAATAAATACTTTTAAGAGTGTTCAGCATCCTCAGCCATCAGGAAAAGGCAAATCAAGGCTACTCTGTGAGTCTATCTTATCCCAAGTGGTTATCAAGAAGGAAAACATAACAAATGTTGAGGAAGAAACTAAAAAAGAGCTCTTACCGTCAGTGGGAGTACAGTATTCTACACACACACACACACATACACACACACACACACACACACACACACACAGTGCACATGTGTCAATTAACACATCTGTCATCTTTCATACTTAGCACACACGTACATGCTTTCTTTTTATGAGTTGTCTTGGTCATGATGTCTTTTCACAGCAACAGAACAGTGAGGCGACTTGGTACCAGGAGCAAGGCATTTCTGTGACAGGCATGACCATGCTGTTTGTTGGAGAAATACGAAGAATGGAACGTTGGACTAGAAAGCGGTTGAATGCTTTAACTGGGGCTAATGGGCTACCCTAGTAGGAGCATGGAAGACAACGGTGCTGAGAGTGTTGTAAACTACGGAGGATGCCCAGCTCAAGAAGTTTCAGAGGAGAGTATTAGAGACCTTTCTTGTGATCTTATGGCAAAAAATGTGGCTGCTTTTTGCACTAATGTGAGAAATCTGCCAGTGGTTGAAGAGTTTGGGACTAAGATCATTAGCAGAGGAAATGTCAGGACAGCCTACTGGCTGTGCCACATGTCACTCTAGTGCAGATCTACAGTGAAAAGGTGCAAATTGGGGGGGGGGGGGAAGAGAAATACACAATGTACAGTTTAAAGAGGAAAGGAGCACCAGGGAATGTAATGTTGGAGCCAAGTCTTGTGCTCAAGGAGATAAGAAGTTTAAGGAAAAGCCTGGAATGAAAGAGGGTGGTAACTTCTGGGCAAGGTCCCACCCAGCTAAACGCTGCAGCCTGTGAAAGGAAAAGGTCTGAGAGATTTCCTAGGCCTAAACAATAACAGAAAGTTTATGCAAATGTAATTCAAGGAGGAGGCCAGGTTCCAGCCCCAGCAGGCAGCAGAACTTGGCAACTCCAGCCACGTGGTTCTGGGTTTAGAGTCAAGGATACAGGAAAGGGGTTATGGAATCTTCCTCCACGGTTAAGGAAAGCCACAGAGGCCAGGTGTCTGTCAGAGGAGTCTCTGCCTGGAGGCCCAAAGAGGCCATGGCATGAAGCTGTAAAAGTGAAGCCTGGATTATGGTGGAGACCCCAAGATTCTGGAGATGCCAGAGCTGTGGGATACCTGCCAGGGACAGCTGCAGACAGAGTGGAACCAGCCCAGAAGAGAGAAGTGTGTTACAGTCAACAAAGTTGTAAAGCAAGAGCCATTTAATAAACCCTTTAAAATCAGACATGAACTTAAAGGATTTGTAGTTTGCCCTGCTAGGTTTCAGTCTTGCTTTGGTCCAGTATTTCCTCACTCTGCTCTCTTTTCTCCCTTTTGGGATGGTAATGTATATTCTGTGCCACTGTGTGATGGAAGTATGTGATCTGCTTTTTTATTTTGATTTCACAAGGGCTTACATTTAAGAGATTGAGTCTAAGAAGAGACTTTGAACTTATGGGGACTTTTGAAGTTGGATTGAATGCATTTTTGTATTATGATATGGCCACAAGCCTATGGAGGCCAAAGAACAGAATGTGGTGTTTTGAATGAGAATGGCCCACATAAATTCATATGTTTGAATGTTTTGTCCACAGTTAATGAAACTGCTTGGAAAGTATTAGGAGATGTGGGCTTATTGGAGGAGATATGTTACTGGGAGTGGGTTTTGAGGTTTCAAAAGCCCATGCTAGGCCCAGTCTCTCTCTCTCTCTCTCTCCCTCCCCCGTCCTTCTCTCTGCCTGTTGCCTGCAGCCTGCAGATCAGGATGTTAAGCTCTCAGTTACTGCTCTAGCACCATGCCTGTCCACTTCCCACCATGATAATCATAGAATATCTAAACCCCCAGCGAAATGCTTTATCAGAGTTGCCGTGGTCATGGTGTTTCTTCACAGCAACCGAACAGTAACTAAGATAAGGGAGAGACCACCTCAAAGGATTAAGTTCTTTCCAAACCAGGGTAGATACAATCTAAGTGTTGTGCACTAGACAACATATTGGGATACAGGGAAAAAAATCATTAATTTTCATGTTTTTAATCTAAAACATTGAGTGACTAATTTTTTGTCGTTGTTTTGAGACAGTCTATGTTGCCCTGACTGTCGTGGAACCAGCAACATAGACCAAGCCGGCCTTGGACTTACAGACATCAGCCTGCATGTGCCTCCACACCAGGCGAGTTAAAATATGATATTTTATGCATAGATGGCCATTTCTGCTCTTACACATTCATTGGTATCACAGGTGGCTGAACAGAGCATGAGGTAGCCTCTGGGGGAGGAATGAAAGGTGTACTGTGTAAAGAGGTTGGCAGGAGACCCCACCAGCTTGGTCTCTGCCCAGCCACTTTAAAAACTGAAGCATGTGATGGAAGTGACATTGCAGTTTATGTGGGATGGTTAGAGCACTCGTGGACTATATTACCAAATATCCACTATACTTTGTGTGAAATAACGTAACTATTGTAGATTGAGGCACCTTCAAAATACTCCATCCGAGAAGCTACACATTGAAAACGATAGTAATATCTACACAAACAATAGAAAAATCCACATTTACTCCTTTGTCGACTGGACTAGAATAAAAGTAGTAAGAGACTATATCATCTCTCACCACTGAAAAGAATTAAGATTTGAAAAATGAATTATTACCACTGTCCTAATATTTTGAGTGCATGCAGGCATACCTACACCTGTAGGGTGCAGACTAAAAGTTAATGACCAGTATCTTCTTCAACTGTTCTCCACATTATTTTTATTTTATTGTGCAATTTTTAAAAAAAGTTTATTTTGCCAGGCATGGTGGTGCACGCCTTTAACCACAGCATTAACAAGGCAGAGGCAGGCAAATCTCTGTGACTTCTAGGCCAGCCTGGTCTACAGAGTGAGTTCCAACACACACACACACACACACACACACACACACACACACACACACACACACACACACGGTTTATTATGTTTGTATGTAAGGATCTTGTCACTGTGGATATATGTGGATAACTTGCAGGAGCTGATTTTCTCCTTCTACCATGCGGGTTCTGGGGGACTGCTCAGGTTGTCAGGCCTGGTGGCTAGACCCTTTATCCACTGAGCCACTCCACTGGCTCTCTACCTTATTTTTTTGAGACTGGGTCTCTCACTGAACTTGGATCCCACTGATTCGTTTAGGCTGGCCGGCCAATAAGCTCCAGGGATCGCCCCCTCTATCTCCTCCTGCCTCCCAGCACCAGGTTGCAGGCATGCACTGCAATGTTTAGCTTCTTGGGTGCTGTGTGTGCGCATGTGTGTGTGTGTAAACTCAGGTCTTCACATGTGCAAGGCAGACACTTCAACAACTGAACAATCTCTCCACCCTCTGGCTCTTATTCTTAAAACCAGGCCTCTTTTGGTCTGTGTAATACTATACACAATATTTCTATGGACAGATAATGAATATTTACTTACGTTTGGGGATACTGATTAAAAATACAAGAAACATGGCCTCGCCTGTCCCCAAGAAATGTCCCATCTCATCTGACTCCTCCCATCCAGTTCTGTAACAGTATAGAGTTTATGTTAAATTCTCAAATTTCTTAGTGCCATTTGGCAACTTGGAATTCTAAGTCTCTGGTTGCTTCTAGACGCCTTCGGAGGTTAATTTTCGTGGCTAAACTTAAGAATTACCTCTGGGCACTTGTCAACTAGAACCCCAGGCCTCTACTCTCAAAAGCCAACTGAATAACGGTAGAGTGACATATAAACGTGCGTACAGTGTCTAAGTCCTTCTCATTCTTATTGCACTGAGAAACTCAGCACCTAGGATTATATCTAGTTTGGTGGAAAGAGGGAAAGCCGTCTTGGCGAGAAACATGGACAATTCCTGAAAACAGACCGTGAACCACAGAGTATACAGAGAAATGCATGTGGAAAAACTACGAGATGCCAAGTCGCAAACCGTCACCTTTGCCTGTGTCTGGGACTTAGCTGTGCCGTGCCACACCCTGTGCTCTACAGGCACTCTAATTACCAAGGTGCCGGACATGTGAAGAAGCCACGTTTAAAGTTTTCTTTGCTGAACGACATTACAGACTCTGCAAACCAGTAAGAACTCTTTGTACCAAAATGAGCTTATTCGCCAAATTTATTTTTGGACATTCAGAACACCAGATTATGACAAACTAAAACAAAGCACCCAAAATTGCCACACGTTAATACCTGAGCGGAGACGGAAGGCAAATACTCACCTAATAAAACTACAGCATAATGTGGAAACACAGGTAAAAACATTTACAACACTCTACAAGGTACGATAAGAAGCACTTTCCCCCAAATCACAACCAGTTCAATGTAACAGCGTTAGTTATACCATACCAAAAATACACAGAAAATTTCACGCACATGTATTAGTGCACTACACACCGCACGATGCACTGGAGGACAGCATGCATGTTCAGACGGGAAGATCTGCGCTATGATCACTGTTTTCAGTACACACTTTGGGGCAGGCTCCTTGCACTAAGAATTGTTACTATACACTAGACTTTATGGCTGAGGACAAAACGGGGGGTGCGAATAAATGGTAACTTTACTGAGTCTCCCACGGCGGCCATGAGTAGTTTGTGCTCGAAACGTTTAGCTGTATGGTAAAAGCGGACGCCAGCGGGGAGCCACCTGATTATACACCCGTGCCTAAACAACTTCGTTGTCAAACTTACCGGGCTTTAAGGAAGTATTGTCACTTCTACATGTGTTTAAGAGACTCTTACTTAAATAAAACGTTTTAACAGGAGTAGGGGAGGGGAAATAGGACAAAAGAAATACGCTGAGTTTATGCCCAAAAGTAACATGTAAAAATAAACAACAAACGGAGCACCCAGGAATGTGAGCATCTTCGGGAAAGAACGTGATTATACTATAAGTTGAGCAATTTGGACTTCAATGAAAATCATACTCATTATTTTAAATAAGCACAGTAATCATGCAAGAAGACTTTACATTAAATTAAAAAGAGGAGCTACTTTCTCCTTGATACTATTAAAAATTATTAGGCAGAAAAAGGAAAGGGAAATAGTAATGGTTAAAAAAAAAAAAACTAGATTGATCTGAGTTTAGCCACTGGAAAGTCACTACCAGATTAACAACCCTTATTTGAGAATATAAATACAAGCCTCAACCTGCCACAACACTGAGCACAAGTCTTAGAAGGAACTCACATCTTTGATAAGATTATTACCAATAAGACAAAAATACATTTCGATGATTAATTTTTATATATTCAGTAAGTTTAGAAACAGAAGTGCCATGACTATCCCTTAAAATATTTTCCCTCAGAAACTTTAGCGAAACCTAATTTCCCAGATATATTAAGACTAAATCAATTTAAAAATAAATCAAACAACAGAAAGCTCGGGAACTTCAGGGAGGCCTCAAGAACAGCAGCTGTGTGAGTGCTATAGGAAGTGTGGGTCAATTTGTACTTAAAACTTTTCCTTCAACAACTTGAAAGGAAAGAATTTCAGGTGAATTTGAGAAGGCCACCCAGAGTAAAATACACAGTTACAAAACTGCAGGGCATTGCTTGGTCATTTTAAGGCACGGTCTGCTTTATCCCAAATAAGTTCAAGGTCACAGTGATGATATAAATTCAGTTTTGGTCTGTTTTATCTTGGGCACATTGCTACACTTACAGCTAGTCCTAAGTTTAAGAAACCACAGTATCACTTCAAAGTGATACACATCAGTTCCTATTTTTTAAAAAAATACAAGTATGTAACACAACTTCCTAATTTATACACAATAAAAATGAAGGTTTCTCTCCCAGCCACACATCGGGGAGGGGGAGGGGTTATTTGCATGAGTACTCTGATCAACGCCTCTTTCTCCATGCACAGAGCCTGCTTTATGTTAAGGGCAGGCATCTCCTACTTAGGCCATTGCACACAGAGGACCAACTCGGTCCAGGGAACACTGCATCCTGAAGCCAGCCCTCACAAGCCACCTTCCTGCTCATCAGTCCACAGTCCCCAAGGGTTAGTTAGATAACCATTACTCGATGAAGACCAAATAACTCCACTACCTGGCTTTCCGGACCACCTCTTCATTTACGAGGCTAACTTATGAAAACGTACCAACATTACTGTACAGGGCCAAGCAGCAGTAAAAAACAGTAAGAAAAACTAAAGCAAAACGCGGAGCTCTATCTCCATGACGTTCCTCTGAGGCAGAAGAGAGTTCATGTAAACCCACAGCGGCTTCTGTGTCCGCTCCGTTTCTAGTTCTCTCTAAGGCCGTATCAGTGCTAGTACGTCTCACTAACAACTGTATTTCATAGTATTTGGTACTATGAAGGTGTGCATGTTAAAAGGTTTGCTTCACTGTACTGTGTTAGGTTCTAGCGGATAAACACTTGGGACGGAACAGAAACACAAACAACAGGAACCCCACAGGGCACGCTTTCAGGTATATAAAGGAGACACCTACACCAGAAATGGACTGTACAAAATTCATTTTTTACATCACAAAAGCCAGATGACTTCAGCTAGCTGCTAAAAGACTTCTACTGAGGGGACTACATTTTTACTCAACAATGTCAGGAAACCAGACAGAATAGAACACACTCTTCAAAAGCTTTGAACATTTTCAAAGAAAAATAGAGTATGGAATATGTTTTCACGATGTACACATTTATTGTTAAGTCTAGATGAAAAATACTGAAGAGATTACTTTTACTTTAACCCCAATATACTACGAAAAGTTCCTTGGCACAAATATCCGGAGGTATTTTACAGTTTCATTTAGCTTTGGTGGCAAAGCACGTTTTGCTAACCACAGGAATACTTCCAGTTTCCAATGTAGATTATGCTGAAAAGAATTCAAATGGATCTTTATTTTCCTAAAAAAAAAAAAAAAAAAAAAAAGGGGGGGGGATGGAAAAAGTCCAACAGGAAACAGAACAAATGCACATGACATACAAAACCCAACAGCCACATTAGGCTCTGCAGTAGTTAGTAGTGCTACGTAATCTCTATAAACTCTTGTGATGGTAATATCACTACCTTACAAACACTACAAAAGGACATTTGGAAGAGCACATGAACTTTACAAAATGGCTCCCTGTAGGTTTCCTAGACTAAGATTAGAATTCAGATACGCAAACTTACACTGATTAATTAAACAGCAACAGATACAGTTTCCCACTGACGCTCAAACTGACAATGCACAGAATGATTACAGGCCGATTCTGACTCAAGGTACCAATTCTACATACCGTCATCGGAAATTAACTGGTTTCTTAGTATTTCAGATGGTTTTTGGTAGCATAACATGCCAAACACTTAAAGAAAACTGCTCTTGATCACAATTATTATTCGCAGACAGTTTAATCAAGCTGCAGCTTAGAGACTGCCAGCTCTGAAGCACATCACCACCCAGCTGCCCTGTTACATTTATAGTGTTAACAGAGTAACGGTATGCCTCTTCCCACCATTTCCAAGTTTTATTCTGTTCTCAAAATGAAGTTACTACCATGTAAAATTCTGTTTTTCCTTATTCACAATGTTTTAAAAATGAAGTTTATGCATGTATAGTACATATTTGAACTGCTGAGCTGACTCCCATTTCCCATGATCCTCTGGAAAGCTGGGAATGTGAAGGCCCCTGGGACTTTCTTATTTCTTCATGCATCCGGAAGCCTCATGTTGAAAAAGTAGATAATCACAGAATTATAAATGTTTCTTGTTCAAAAAGACTGCAATAAAAATTCCAGCTCTCAATCTTACAGTTGGAAGAGTGAGTCCTGTATTAACTTTATCTGGTACAGAAGCTGTCCCGTCAGGAACAATTGCCAACACAGAAACTCTCATTGCTCCCTTGACAAGTGTCATACTCTCCCCCAATGGATTGTGACCCTCAATAAACTTCAAAAAGTCTGTTTCCTATGATATACAAATTCACAGATCAGATTGTCCACACAGGTAAAAAAAAAAAAAAAAAAATCAACAAAAACCTAGCTATCCAAAGCTTTGACATACTTTTGGATTTTTCCTAAATGATTTTTTTAAAAAACACTTCCTAAATGTTCAAACGCAACATTCTAAAATTTTGCATCAAACCAAAAAAACACAAGGCAGTGCATTAATTCAGACCTGATGTTGAGGAGAGAAATACAGACCGCCTGATTTATCCCATGACTCTGGAACCAGCAGCCCTGGTTTAGTTCATGGTGTTTGTGGGTCCCTGCCTCTTAAATGTGTTTTGCGTTTTCATGTGTGTACATGTTTGTGTATGTGCACCTGTGTGTGGGTGCACATACGAGAGGTTGGGGGTGTTGGGGACAAGGGTCAATGCTGGGAGTCTTCCTCAGTTACTCTCCACCTTATTTTTTGAGACAGGATCTTTCACTGAACCCAAAGCTTGCAAATTTGGCTAGGCTGGCTGGCCAGCAAGCCCCACACATCTACCTGTCTCCACCACTCAGAGCTGAGATTCCAGGTACACACCGCTCAGCCAGTTTCTCACGTGGATTCTGGGAGTCTGCACTTGGGTCCTCATGTACAGCAGGCCTTTCCATCTGAACCATCTCTCCAGGCCTGTTTCCCATATGCCTCCCGCAGCTTTCAAGAACTACCGAAAACTGAATTCTTCCTCACTTTATTGCACGTCATCATCTTCCATAAGAGGCATTAAGAAAGTGCCTGGTTAAATGAACACACCACACCGTGAGTGAAAACTCTAAAGAGGTTTTTGTTTGTTTTGTTTTTTTAAGTATAGAGACTTGATAATAAAATAAATAAGACAATCTGTCTGGTACAAATTTGTGAGCACTGTGAAAATGCGCCATGTCGACATGCATAACAACGTAATAGATAGCAAATGTTCAGCAGGACTACCTCCTGGAGTTACTTCTTTTTCTTCACTGTATAATTACATAGACACTATTATAGTTCACTCAATAAAAGGTAGCCCTTTGCTGGGCGGTGGTGGTGCTCACCTTTAATCCCAGAACTTGGGAGGCTGAGGCAGGTAGATCCCTGTGAATTCAAGGCTAGCCTGGTCTACAGAGCTAGTTCTAGAACAGCCAAGGCTACCAAAGAAACCTTGTCTTAAACGCCCCCCGCCCCCCCCAAAAAACTATCCCTTTATAGACAGCTGAATTTACATAACCAAAGTATAAAAAGGATTAGAAGACTACTCAACACATGATTAATACATATTAGGCAAGCTCAAAAATCAGTGTTTAGCATAAACAGTTTCTTTAGAATCAGTTCTAAAAGTTTTCAATATGGTGGTAACCAAGAAAAGAGTAGAATTTATTTAATTTTGGCACGGAATTAATCCAGACTAGCTGTGTATAACTCAGTGGTAGAGAATATAATTAGGAAACACAGGCTCTGGATTTAATCCCTGGTGTGCTTATGTCTATACACACAGAACTGCAATAGCAATTTCTATCAAATTATCAGGTCCAGGAGCTGGAGGGATGGCTGAGTTAAGAGTGCTGCTGTTCCGGAGAATTTGAGTTTGGTTCCTAGTGTCTACGTCCAGCAACTCACAATTAACTACAGCTCTAGGGGATCTACTGCCCTCTTCTGGCCACAGTGAGCACCTGCACACACATACATATATACACATACACACATACACACACACACACACACACACACACACACACACACACACACACACACAATGAATCTTTAAAAGAATTATCAGGTCTAAGTTGTAATAGCAAGAACTCCATGAGGGCATTTCAGAAACACCGAGCACTCAGTGTTCTTAATTGTCTAATGTGTACTCAATCTATTCACTAGCAAGAATCCAGCTGTTTAATAAGCACAACACTTACTCAAAAACTCAGTTTCTTAGGGAAAAAACCACAACAGTGGAACTCAAAAATGTGATGTATTAATCTCTGATTTAACTGCCAATTCGAGTAAAATTGGTAATGGGACTATGGGTAATAATATGCATGTAAACATGATAGATAAAAGCAAGTGACGTTGAGATAAAGGAATTTCCTTTTCTTAAGGGATAGCAATTTTCATGATTAGGTGGTCTACCTAGCTATTTGTATCTAAACACTTGATGAAGATTCTGTCAAAGTATGCCCATGTGTGTTTATGTGTGAGTGTGTATCTGTGAGTGTGGGCGGCAAATGGCCCAAGACCCAGACCACTATTATCTAAAATATTTTGTTGACATAAACAAGACTTCAGGGCTTGGGAATAAGTACTTTCAGACAAAAAACATTTCAGTAAGAATTAATGTGCTTTAATAACAAACATACCTACTCCTGAGTAAGAAATCAAACTTGCTACGTTTTACTCAGGAGTAGTCCTGGCTAAGCAGGGAGACTTTAGATCTCAGAAATAATTCCCAGCTGTAAAAAGGTCTAACACCAATTTTCTGTAAAGTTCTTTGTAGATGTATGTTCAAATTCAGGAAGTCAAAGTATTCAGTTACCATTAAGTTGAGATAAGCCTGTCGTATCATCCACAGAATGAAAGGTAGCATGTGTATAGAGGCTGTGTATGCCTGGCCACATTCAAGCAGCTATGTCCCATGGAAGTGGTATGCCATGGGAAAACTGTGCTGCTGATGAACTCACTCTCAGATACTGAACAAACACTATGGTGTAGTTTATTCCGTTTGAAACGTTTCTGAAGCAAGAGACTAAAACGCTCGCCACATCTAGTATAATGGCTTTCCTTTAAAAGTCTTAGTAAGTGAAAAATATGAATACTTAACAAGCATGATGCCCATCAAGAAGACAGCAACAGAATCATACAAACGAACTAACCTCTGTGGTAATAACATGACCCTCTGACTAAAGCTGAAACAGGAAAGATCCAAGGAAGAACTCCCAGAGGGCATGAGGCAGGTTATGAGGGTGAGTGGAGTGGGAGGAGCCCTCTGGCTGGCAGTAGTAGCTGAAAGGCTGTGGTACCAGATGCAACAGCAGATAAAATAAAACCGGTTCCCTGGGTACCACTCCTGGCACTAAGACGTACACGAGCTCACAAGTGCAGCTGTGAATTCACGGACATGTAAGGACTTCACTGGGGAGGCTTCAGGCATTTACAGAACACACATCTAAGTGAAGGGCTCCATGAACCAGGATTTTCTCAGCTTGAGTTTGTTCTAACCAAAGGCAAAGAGCAACTATAGTCTTCAAGCTCCCGACCTTTCTACTTTTCTGTAGCTAAGAATGAACTAGAACTGGAGATGAAACAGAGTAGTATTACCCTTGCTGGCCAAACAGGAGTCCTCGGAGTGAACTCTGCAAGTCAAGATTCCACTGTTACGTGGGCAATGGAAGTCTGCAGTCTCCTGAGGCAGTGCTCACACGGTCAGGGCCGCGGCAGTAATGGCTGCCTGCTGCTCCTCCATTAGCGGTATCGTTTGGTACATCAAGTGTACACCTGTATTTGTGTTGACACCCCCTCCTTCCCAAGAGACAAAAAAAAAAAAAAACCAAAACGATGCAAGCCTAGAGTTGTCGTTCCAACCTCTGGAATTGAGTTATTTTAACAACCTATCATTACCAGAGGCACTTTTGGCAACCACGGGGTCCCTGGTTTAATCTGGTGGAGAAACTGTTTGTGCCAATGCAGATCCACAGGAACAGTCTTTTGATAATAGATCTTTTGGTAGAATTTCTTTCATGCTTTTAATATTCACCAAGAATACACAGTAAGAGTCATATTTGAAGGCTCAAGAAAATGTCCTTGTTTTGAATCTCAAGTGCAGTAGTTAACCAAAAAGTCTCCCTTTAATTTGAGGCTCTTTTTCACAGATGTAAGAAGACAGATCAAACTGTGTTCACCGTGGCTGCCAAAAACTGACCAAAGATTGCATCATGACTATTTTACTTCTGGGAAACAGTCGTGACTTTGAACAACCCTTGAGGACTTATTCTGAATATGTAAATGACAGCAAACACAAAACCCACTTTTCAAAAGAAAGTCTGAGGAAACCTGCAGCGGTTTCCCATGATTATAAACAATGCTCCGTCTACAGAGTCTCTGGAAGATTCCCGTCATGGCTGAGGAAAGCCAGTGGGTATGACAGGAGTCCCCTTCACTAACTTCTCAGGTGTGACAAGTATACGCACGCGACATCACGAAATGAAACCATGCTTCGACTACTTTCCTCAAGCATTACAAAACTAATCTCCTATGTCCGATACTGTAAAAATAGACTCGTCTTCTCCGAAGGACCGCACTGTGCCGGTGGGTGGAGCTGCGTTCACTGCCTCCCTGGTCCTAAAGGCGTACATCACTTTTGTCATCCTCCAAGTCCAGGCTCACATAAAGTTGCATAACGCGTGGAGTAAAAGAGGGATGATGACAAAGCAAGGGACCCTGTATAAGTGGGAGGAGCCAAACGCAATGACGCCGACAGCCAGGGGGAGTGGGAACTGCGAGGCGGTCTTCAGCAGTTTACTGTGAAGAGACAGAGAAATACGCATCAGTCAAACTACACCGTGAGCCAAAAGGAAATACGTTAATCGTTTATGTGCCTTTGGAAACTTAACACTGTGATTTTTGCTTGTATTTATTATTTAAATTCTGTGTGTGTATTTACATTTTGTGTAGCTATTAAAATATTTTGTTTATTTATTTTTGTTTTTCTGATTATCCTCTTTTTAGTGTTTTGTTTGGTTTTGTTTGAGGCAGGATCTCACTACGTAGACTTAGCCGGCCTGGAACTTGCTATATAGACCAGGCTGGCCTCAGACTCACAGAGATCTGTCTGTCCCTGCCTCCCGAATGCTGGGATTTAAGTTGTGTGCCACTGTGCCATCTTAGTTTTGGTTTTCTGAGATGAGGTTTTGTGATGGATGATAATCCAAGCTGGCTTTGAACTTATGATCTTCCTCATCTTCTGAACGCTGGAATGACAGGAGTGTGCCATAACATCTGGCTCCTAACTGACTTTAAATGATGTGATTTTTTTTTTTTTATGAACTGAATAAAAAAACCTGTCCATAATTGTACACAGCTCAATAAAAACCATATTTTAAACAGAAAACGGAAACACATTTCTATTCAGAGAACAGCTATATCTTTACTCTTAAGAGAAAAATACCGGATGGTATTTCATTCTGCGATTCTACCTCTAAAAAGATATCCTAGGAAAATAACGTTCTTGAAGACCCAGCTACAAAAATGCTTAATTTAATCCCACTTACAACATCAAAATTAAATAAGTAAAAACAAAAGTAAAGAAAGAAACAAAACAAACAGGGGAAGCATCCTTGTCCCCAGAAAGGAAACGGAAAACCAAACCATTAAACACTAAAGAAGAAAACTAGTTTCAGGGGAAACCCCTTGGATTGTACACGGAAAACTGAGATGTTGGGGTTAGAGAGGTACGTACGTCTGTGCACACAGCCATTAAACGGCCAAGTCAAGATTTGCTCTCCCTTATGTATACAACTTATTTGAGACAGGGGCCGATGTAGCCCAGGCTGGCCACCAGCTCTACATAGCTGAGGATGGCCTTGGCTGCGGATTCTCCTGCTTTCCCCTCCCACATGCTCAGACCCCAGACACACAGCAACACTCCTGGCTCTGACGCCAAGATTTAAATCCTCACTGGGTCTGAGCCCAGAGCAAACGCTCCAGGAGGACCCGGTGTGGTTATGAGAACCTCAAACACAGACACATAAAAGGCCAGCCGCACACGAAGCCCTCATACCTACTACTCAGAGGATTCAAATGGTCATTATTTTAGCCACCGGTCCATCTACTTACATTATGCCTATACTCTTGGGAAGTCAAATCTTAGATATCATATCATTTCAGAGTTAAGTCTTAAAAGAAAATAACTCACTCATTTCCTAATGAAACTCCTACCATTAAGAAAACAAGCATAATATATTTGCATATGAACCATATTTGCATATAAACCACAGTCATCTATGGTTTTACTTTTAGGAACAGTCAAATTAAATACAAATAGAGAGGATGCTTCAAGAAAGAAAATCGTAAAGGACAGCAACAGATGAACAGATAACTCAAAACCACTGTACCTTGACTTTACTGAAACTGTGTGAGTATTTCCAAGAATCGTTATAGCTGGGGTAAGGAGAAACGCCAGGGGCTTACATGGGTCGGGAGTAAGGTGAAAATAATACCTAGAATAAAAAGAAAACATGTCAGCAAAGCAGAACTGATGGCTTTACATGATCAGAGTCAAATTAATTAGTTTTCAAAAAGTTCCAACAACAGTACGGTCACGAGCACCCGTGAAGCGGCCAGTAGCAACTCAGGCTCTAGACTGCCCTCCCACTCAGGACCCGACAGCGGGCTTCACACTCCGGCTCTAGACTGCCCTCCCACTCAGGATCCAACAGTGGCTTCACACTCCGGCTCTAGACTGCCCTCCCACTCAGGATCCGACAGCAGGCTTCACACTCAGGCTCTAGACTGCCCTCCCACTCAGGATCCGACAGTGGCTTCACACTCAGGCTCTAGACTGCCCTCCCACTCAGGATCCGACAGTGGCTTTACTCCGGCTCTAGACTGCCCTCCCACTCAGGATCCGACAGTGGCTTTACTCCGGCTCTAGACTGCCCTCCCACTCAGGATCCGACAGTGGCTTCACACTCCGGTTCTAGACTGCCCTCCCACTCAGGATCTGACAGCGGGCTTTACACTCCGGCTCTAGACTGCCCTCCCACTCAGGATCCGACAGTGGGCTTTACACTCCGGCTCTAGACTGCCCTCCCACTCAGGACCCGACAGCGGGCTTCACACTCCGGCTCTAGACTGCCCTCCCACTCAGGATCCGACAGTGGCTTTACACTCCGGCTCTAGACTGCCCTCCCACTCAGGACCCGACAGTGGTCTTCACACTCAGAAGCCACTGAGGAGACAGACACGCAGTGTGGAAAGGCTCACACAGCTCTTCAAAACAAACTACTCAAAATACATTAAGACGGCCCTATCTCAAAACAGGTAAAATGGAGGCTAAAATAAAGGAACTTCTCATTAGTTTTTACAACTCGGAATTCCATCACTTGTAGTTATTGACAGTAAGAATTCCACAGCCTTTTGAGAATCTGGCTTGTTTCTCGATTCTGACTAAATTCTGGATCTTGACTAAAATACACACAAAAGAGGGTCATCACCATCTGATAAACCTCTGACTTCGTTTCCTGGACGGATTTCGATTCTGCCTATTTCTAAGCAGGTGTGAGAGGGACCAGACATTCCAACCACAGGTGAGCCAGGCATCCTAGGACAATGGAAGGATCATTCTAACCACAGGAGAACATCAGTTCTCTCGAGCTTTGGCTACAGGGAGGCATTCATGGTAACAGCAGCTCCTAAAAATACCATGCCACTGCAGAAGGACACTGCTTTGTTTCCTGCATCTCAGAGGGCACTCTGGGGACCTGAAAACAAGGAACAACAGTTCAGGAATGGTGGGGACACATGCCACAGGTCTGGTTGGGATCATCACAAGGCGGAGCTATGGAAAGAGTGGGAAGGGCTGGATAAACAAACATCAATGAGGCCAGGCTGTGACGGATGCAGGAGTGAGTGTGCCCACCGGCTGCCGTGAGGATCAAGTCCCAGCGCCCGTGGATTTCTGTATTCTGAATCCGGAGCCTGCCGGACCTCTGGAGCTGTCTCTGCCACCTGTGGTTGGCTAGTGGGCAACTCTGACAGCTCTGAGCTCAGGACCAGAGGAGTCTCTGATTGCCCCAGTTTCCTCCCTCCTACAGGGTTTACTGCTGGATGGGATCTGAAGGCACTGAGCTCAATAGGCAGAGTTCCAGGTTCCCTGGATTTTCCACTATACTCCCACTGAATAGACTCTCTACGCCTTTAGTGTGCTTATCCAGTTTAGAACACAGGGCCCTGTTTTCCTCCAACTGGAAGTGAGTGGGAACCTTGCCGGGTAAGCCTGTTCTCAGCAGGCCACGACCCATTTCTAAAGCGCATGCAGCCTCGACACAGACCACAGACCCGTGGCCCACCTGGTCCTCAGCTGCACGCAGCTCCGACACACGGTGGAAAAAGTGAGAAGCCACAGTGGCCTCTAGCTACTACTCCAATCTCACTCCACATCTGGATCTCACTCCACATCTGGCTGATGCCAGTGTTACAGGAAAGACGTCTTCAATTCTTCGAGATTTTTAACTTTATTTTGTTATACTTTTAGTTTTCTATTGTATTTTTATGTCATTTTAACTTTCTTTCCTTTTTTTTTTTTTTCTTCTCCGAGACAGGGTTTCACTGTGTAGCCCTGGCTGTCCTACAGCTCTCTATGTAGATCAGGCTGGCCTTGAACTCAGAGATCCTCCTGCCTCTGCCTCCTGAGTGCTGGGATAAAGGGTGTGCGCCCCCACCACCACCTGGCCTAACTTTATTTCTTAAATACAATTTTTACCTTTTATCTTTACCTAATTATATTTAATATTTTCTATTTTGTAATCAGACACTTCTGTTTTTCTTTTCCTGACATTCTTCCCCTTCCTCTCTTCCTCTCACCTTATTTCTTCTCTCTTTCCTCCCCCTCCACTTCTCTCCCTCAGTCCACTATGCCGTTCCTTCATTGCAGATTTTACCTTTGCTGATTGGTTTTTTAAGTTTTTTTAAAAAAAAAGAAGTGGCCATCTCTGTTTTTATTTCTTTACTAATCTGATTTTTAACTTTATAGCTTAGTACATAATGTCTTTTACCGCTTTCTTTTCTGTGGTTGTTAGTGGTGTACACGAGCTGTTTCGAATTGATTCCCTCGGTTGTTTTTATGTGTTGGGTCGTGGTAGTGCTGCAGTTTTGACAGTGTATCTTCTTCTCTCTGAGCGGACTAGGGTTGAGAGCTCAAGAGAAGACTGCTGGTTACAAAGATTCCCCACGTAAAACAATGCAACCCCAACCCCAACAGACAAGCAAATCACAACACAGAAACGTGAAATGGGCAACACAAATCTTGCAGAAGTTCACAACTGGAGTAGCTGAAGCAAAGATGTTGAGATGCCTGAAATGGCCAAGAACTCAGAAGCCTTGTTTTAAAAATAATGACTTCAAGCCGGGCGGTGGTGGCGCACGCCTTTAATCCCAGCACTCGGGAGGCAGAGCCAGGCGGATCTCTGTGAGTTCGAGGCCAGCCTGGGCTACCAAGTGAGTTCCGGGAAAAGGCGCAAAGCTACACAGAGAAACCCTGTCTCGAAAAAACCAAAAAAAAAAAAAAAAAAAAAAAAGACTTCAAAGAAGATTCAAACCAGCAGGCGAATGAATTAAAGAATTCAGTGCAAGACTTGGAAGGGAAATCCAGTGTCTTAGATAAGACACCCAGCAAAGGCATGTGGTTTCTGGAAAAGGCAAACAGAAATCTTAGGCATGAGCAGCTCAGGATTTAATTTAAAAATTCAATTCAATGGACAGTCAACATTAGACCACACCAGGTGGAAGAAAGTACGCCAGGGAACTGGAACACGGCTATAAAATGATCTTATTTGGATGAAAAAGGAGGAAAGAGAGGGAGGGAGGAAGAAAAACAGAAACTTAGGACCACAACACCCAAGACTCCTGGGAGACGGAGGAACCAAAATCTGTAATGTGTCTGATGAAATTAAGACAGACTAAAATCACAGGAAATACACCCAATGACATTTATACAGAAAATCCCCTACGCCTGGGAAAAGAAACGGACCTATAGTTATGAGGCATTTATAACTGTACATGGATATGATGAGAGAAGAATCTCCCCACATCATTACAGTTTAGCATGCCAAGTTCAGAACCAAGAATACGGACAGCTGAAAGAAAGGTGTCGGATTACATCTGAAGGAAAACATCAGAATGACAGAATGTCTCTCAGCAGAGACGGGGAAGGTCAAATAGTGTGTGAGAAGATGGGCTTCCTTTTTGTTTGTTTGGTTTTTTTAAAACTCAGAAATTTTTCTATGTAGCCCAGATGGAGCTGGAACTTCTTTGTGCCTCAGGCTGACCTTGAACTTTGAACCCTCCACTTTAGACTCTCTAGTGCTGGGATTACAGGTGTGTGTGCCACTCAATACGGCTTGAACTGATGTAAGCCCTGAAGCAAAGTAATTGCTAACTATGATGACTCTATCCAGTGTGCTGGTTAGTTTTTGTTAATTGATACAAGCTAGAGTTATGTAGAAAGAGTGAACCTCAGCTGAGGACTGCCTCCCCCAGGTTGGGCATATCTAGGGTGTGCTTTTTTTTTTTTTTTTTTTGCAGAGTTCAGGAGCAATGCAGAGGATGATAAAGAAACACCACATGCAAGAAGAGGAAAAAGACGTCCAAGCATGAGAACTTGGTAGAGAATCTCAGTTGAAAATTAGTAACTACAGGAGACTTAGGAACAAATCAAACAGAAATAATTCAGTGTGTGAGCAAATCTCTAATGTGAAGGAGAAATTGGTGCACACTTTTCAATAATCACACTAAACATAGTCACTCCTAACCCCCCAGTTAAGGTATCTATTGACTGAACTGTGTGACCTTTGAAAGAAACACACCTCCCTGACAAAGGCTCACCTGGACCTGAAGTGCAAGGAAGGAGGTGATCATTCCAACCCCAGATAAGTAAAAGACATTTACAGCTGACAAAGCAGACTTAGACTTCGTCCGAAGAGATAAAGAAGGTAACTACACATGAATGAAAGAAACAATCCATCAAGAATACGTAACAGCCGGGCGGTGGTGGTGCACGCCTTTAACCCCAGCACTTGGGAGACAAAGGCAGGCAGATCTCTGTGAGTTCGAGGCCAGCCTGGTCTACAGAGTGAGTTCTAGGACAGACAGACAGGCTACACAGAGAAACCCTGTCTCAAAAAAACAGAAAAAAAAAAAAAGGAATATGTAACAGGGGCCACAGGGATGGCTCAGCATTTAAGAGTGTGGTTTACTCTTGCAGAGAACCAGAGTTGGTTTCCAGCACAGATGTCAAATGGGTCACAACCACCTGAAACTCCAGCTCCAGAGGATCCAAAGCCTCTGTCCTTCAAAGGGCATTTGCCACTCACGTGGACATATATACACACAGAGACACACTCATATACAAAATTAAAAATAAAATAAATACTCTCCTCTAGAAGAAGACATAACAGTCAAAAATGTATGTGCTGAATGTCGAAATCAATAAATTACATAAAACAAATGCTACTGAACACAAAAGAAGAGACTGATCCAGGTACAATAACAGCGGATAACGTCCACACTCCCCTCATCAAAAGTGTGGTCATCCACACACCCTTCCCTCAAATTTCAGATTGAACTACTTCTTAACAGACACCAATAGCATATTCTATCCACCAGCTGTGAAATACACATCCTTAGCAGCCCACAGAACTTTCCCCAAAATAAATCACATTTTAAAACTTAAAACAAGCCGGGCGGTGGTGGCGCACGCCTTTAATCCCAGCACTCGGGAGGCAGAGGCAGGCGGATCTCTGTGAGTTCGAGGCCAGCCTGGTCTACAGAGTGAGATCCAGGAAAGGCGCAAAGCTACGCAGAGAAACCCTGTCTCGAAAAACCAAAAAAAAAAAAAAAAACTTAAAACAAGTCATAATTTTAAAACACTAAAATAATTTTTTTGTTTCTTACCAAATCATAACAGAATAAAACTAGAAATCAACAACAAAAGGAGCTACAGAAATGATACAAGCACATGAAACTTAAACAATACAATTCTGTACGATCAGTGGGGTTCAGTTCTTTAATCAAGGGAAATTAAAAAAAATCACAGAATCACATGAAAATGAAAACATCACTTATTATAAGTTTTGGAATCATGCAAAGGAAGTTTTCACAGCAAAGTTATAGCTATAAGGACCTACATTTAAAAAAATAGACCTCAAATAACCAATAATGCACCCAAAGGTCTTTGAGAAAAGGAACAAATTAAACTCTAAATTAATAGACAGGAAGAAGTACTGGGACTCAAGGAACAGTTAACAGGGAGCAAGGAAGTCAACAGTAGGTTCTCTGAAATGGTAGGCAATATTGACAAACTCTTAGCCAACCTAACCAAAAGAAAAGAAGACACAAATTAATAAAATTAAAACCAAAAGAACAGATAGCAGCAAAATCTAGAAGATCATTATGGAGTATTTTGAACATTTGTATTCTCAATAAACTGAAACACTAGAAGAAATGGATAAATTTCTAGACAGATAGGACCTACATAAAATTGATCCATGAGCATATAAACAACATAAACAGGTCTGCACAACAAGAAATGAGAATACATCAGTAATGTCTCCCAGCAAAGAAAAGCCCAGGAGAAGACAGGTTCTATCAGCCCTTTAAACACACACACCAGTTTTCTTCAGTCTATTCCACAAAACAGGAAGAACACTGTCAAACAGTCTATAAAAGAGTTTGATCTGATCCCAAGGACACAGCGAACAGAAAACTATAGACCCATCTCTCTGAAGAAGCAGCACAAACATCCTCGATAAAATACTTGTAAACTGAATTCAACAGTACAGTCAAAAGAGGTAATCAAGTTGGTTTCATTCCAGGGGTGCCAGGATGCAGAGACACACAAACAAAACAACATAATTTAGTGCATGGATAAAATCAAGGACAAAAACCATGTGATTATCTTATTAGATGGGGAAAAAAGCCTTTGAAAAATTCATTATCCATTCATGAAAAAAGCCCAAAAGAATCCAAGATTAGATAATAGCTCAGCAAAGTAAAAGGTGGATATAACCAACCTACAGCTAACTACACTATCTGGGAGAAAAGTTACAAGCATTTCTTCTAAAACCAGGATGACGACAGGATGTCTACAGGACTGTTATTCAATATAATGCTCGAAGTTTTAGTCAGACCAATGAGGTAAGAAAATGAAAAAAAAAAAAAAAGATAAAAATAGAAAGGAAAACATCAAATTATCCCTATTAGTAGAAAATATGATCCTATACTTAAAAGTCCCTGATAATTCCAGTAGGAAACTCTTAGACATGATGAACGTTTTCAGCAAAGAAACAGACACAAGATCAACATCTGTTTCTGTATGTCAGCAGTGAACACACAGAGTTACATCAGAAAAACAAAACCATGTATAGCCTTTAAAAAGGCAGTAAAATACCCAGGAATAAACTTAACCAAGGAGGCTAAATGAAGCAGTGGTGAAATTTACTTAGAAGGACAGTGGATTAGCCAAAGCAGTCCTGAGCCAAGGGAGTGCTGTGTGTCTGCAGATGATCAATACAGCAGTGTCAACAGTTGCTAAGTTATGAATGAGCTTAGATGCTGACCAGGTATTTTATTGAGGTTTTTTTTAGGCTGTTTGTACATGGTTTTGTTGGAAAGAGGAGGGGACCAATGGAATAGATAAGCTAGGACAAGAGAAGGTGACCTCAACATAGTAAAAGGCATGTATGAAAATGTCACAAAAAAATTCATTATTTTGTATATCACACATAATAAAAATTGTTTATAAATTACTTTTTTTGGTTAAAAAAATACAAATCACTTCCTTTGGCTGATTTTTAGAGAACATTATAATTTCAGAACTCAGAAGCATCATGGCTAATGAGGGAATGGAAATGTACTGAAAACTAATTCCAGGCAATATATAGCTTCCTATTTTCAAGCAATTTTCATGGGCCATCAGGAATTCAGCCAGGCTCTATTAAGAGAGATTTACTGCCGGGCGGTGGTGGCGCACGCCTTTAATCCCAGCACTCGGGAGGCAGAGCCAGGCGGATCTCTGTGAGTTCGAGGCCAGCCTGGGCTACCAAGTGAGTTCCAGGAAAGGCGCAAAGCTACACAGAGAAACCCTGTCTCGAAAAACCAAAACCAAAAAAAAAAAAAAACAAACAAACCTAAGGTTCTTTAACCAATAGATGAGAGACGGCATGCTGAGCAGAACCACCCACGTGAGCAGGTTAATCACAGTGCCGTGCATGCGCAGACTGTCCTCAGCATCGTTGGCAGACAGGCGAAGACCCTGCACTGAGGAGTCTTTATGGTGGTTGGACTTCTTTTCACTTCTTCTAGAGTGTTTGGGATTCTAGAAAGCGAAAGAACAAGAATGTCAAGATGTGAATAAACAAAAATAAGTTCAAGATATTGCTTATTATTACTTAACTCTTATTACCAAATATAAATAAAATAATGAAGTTGCTTTGCTAAAAGTACTTTAAAGTTGTTATCATCACAAGAGTTTTCTTCTTTTCTGTTTTATTTGAGATGCGATCTTGCTATGTGACCCTGGCTGATCTCAAACTCTCAGGTTCCAGCCACCCTATGCTTCAGTTTCCTGGGTGCTTGAAATACCAGCATGTGTGACCACGTCCAGCTACATTTTTTGACTTCTTATTTTTATTGTTAGTAATAACTCAAAATATATATATTTTTTAACAACAACGTGATGAAGGTAACCCAGGATCAAGTTAAAAAGAACAATTCAAGTCTATTTCAATATTCCTTAACTTTACTTCAAGTTACTTAAAATTCACAATTCCTTTTAAACATTATAAAACCCTCACATCTACTCCTATGGCTTCAAAACACAACAATGGGAAAACCAAACGCACATTTCCTCATGTGCTTTCATATTAATATGTAGCGTTTAGAAAACAAAGCTCACCACTGGCTGGTTGCTTCTAAAGGTCGTAAGGCTGGCTTGCAGATGGACAACCTTAGGAAGAGAAGATGATTTTAACTTTACTTGTATTTGGAACAAAAACAATAGACAACAGTTTTAAAAAAAATTAAAACTGAGAAGCATTATAATCTGAAATTTTAAAAAATATAGGCCGGGCGGTGGTGGCGCACGCCTTTAATCCCAGCACTCGGGAGGCAGAGCCAGGCGGATCTCTGTGAGTTCGAGGCCAGCCTGGGCTACCAAGTGAGTTCCAGGAGAGGCGCAAAGCTACACAGAGAAACCCTGTCTCAAAAAACCAAAAAAAAAAAAAAATAAAAAAAAAAAAAATAAACGTGGAGCTGGGAAATGGCTCAGTTATCAAGAGCACTAACTGCTCTTGCATAGGACCTGGGTTTGGTTCCAAGGCCCCACAGGGCTCATGAGCCTCCGTCACTCCGTCTAGGGGTTCTGATGCCCTCTTCTGGCCTCGATGAGCACTGCACACACACAGTGCGATAAAACATACACATAAGTTATAATGAAAACATTAAAAAAAAAAGCAACCAGGCTTCATTTAAACATTTGAAAACAACATTCCATGAAACATAAATCATAACAAATGATAACTCTTACGGATTTATAAAAGAAAAACACAAAATGGTAACAATAAAAACTTCCAGAATAAGCAGAGACCTTTTATATCCTCTGAACTTATGTTTGAACGATGCCTTGCTACTGTAAGTTTACATGTCTTGTAGGTCAAACGTTTCATTATATTCAATATTATAAAAAATGTTCAATTTTATGTGGTGGTAAAATACTTATGAGACTTCAAGAAAAATGTGTAAATTTATTGTTTCTCTTAAATTACATATCTGAGGAAGTTTTGTCTATTGAGTCAGTTTTTAAAAATTATCTAATTAGGGGGATCTTTGATTGGTGTGTAAAATGAATGAAAAACTTTCTTAATAAAAAAATAAAAGAATATATAAAAGAAAAAAATTATCTAATTAAAAAAACAGAACCTAACCTTATTATTTATAAACTTAAGTAGCTCTAGACATCTTTTCAGATTTACAAAAGGTCCTTTTAGAAAACTGAAAATAATCTACAGTGTGAAAGTCTTAGTTTAAAAGAGAGGCAGATAGAGCCTTGATGAAAAGTAAGAATAATTATCCAGTGTGATGTCCACAGTCCACCCACATGATCAACTATCCAGTGTGGGGTCAACAGTCCACCCACACGATCAACTATCCAGTGTGGGGCCAACAGTCCACTCACACGATCAATTATCCAGTGTGATGTCCACAGTCCACCCACACGATCAACTATCCAGTGTGATGTCCACAGTCCACCCACACGATCAATTATCCAGTGTGATGTCCACAGTCCACCCACACGATCAATTATCCAGTGTGATGTCCACAGTCCACCAACACAATCAACTATCCAGTGTGGGGTCAACAGTCCACCCACACGATCAATTATCCAGTGTGGGGTCCACAGTCCACCCACACGATCAATTATCCAGTGTAATGTCCACAGTTCACCCACATGATCAATACACCACACACGCAGCTTGTCGCCTCCTGGATTCCCTTCCACACCATTAGTTTACTCAATGTTTTCTGCTTCAGTAAAATCATCACTTAATTGTTATCATTACCTTTGATTCTTCAGCAACGTATGTCAGTATCCACTGACGTGACTGATAACTTGATGAGAACTAACAACTTTTCCTTTTCCTACTCATGTCTGAAAGATGTGAGTGAGTAAATCTATTCTAATAAAATGTTTAAAAAGTTAATGACCCCAGGAACAAAAAGTGACCTAAAACAGATTGTATCTTCTCCCTTTTTTTTAACCAAAACCCCAACTCAGACTAATAATGTCAATTCTATACTTAACTAAATATAAGTTAAACAACCAAGATGCAAAAAATAAAAATTAAAACTTAAAAAAAAAGCCTTTACATCAACTTTCTAATATAACAGAGGGTTGCATTCAGGAATAATCACAATTTTTGTTAATAATGCCTATGGGGCACTCTATAGGTGCCTAACACAAAGCCCAGGCCTTCTGGCTTGACTGATTCAACATACCTTAAACACATAGTACAGATAAGACAGAAGTATGGCAAGTGCTCCACAAGTCGTCCAGCTCACTATGAGAAAGACAACTGTCAGAACAGGCAAGTCTGGTGACATCACCTTGATATCCTTAGGAAGTTCAGCAGGTCTAGAATGAAAGAAACAAAGTTGTGTGTGTGTGTGTGTGTGTTTTTTAAATACAATAGTGTATATTTACATAGTCCACAAAAGAAGAAAACAATGTAAGGCTGAAAACTACTCATGTTGCAAGAGGAGCATTCCAATCCATGATCTCGTGTGTCAGGCCACAGCCAAAACACAGATGCACTAAGGAAATTGTAAAGTAAGCTTCAGGTTATGTATATAAAGTAATACAAAACAAATGCATTTTGCACTCGGAGCTTGGGCCCATCCTCAAAATTCTTCATAATATATATGCAAATATTTCAAAATCTAAGAAAGTTTAGTGTCCTGAGCATTTCAGAGGGAGAGCTCTACCAGCCCCTCAGCGGCTTATTAATATGTGAGGGACACAAAGTAAACTATAAAGACAAACTGTGTAGAAAATAAACACAAGCCAGGCGACGGTGGTGTAATGCCTTTAATGCCAGCACTCGGGAGGCAGGGCCAGGCAGGGATCTCCGTGAGTTCGAGGCCAGCCTGGTCTACAGAGCGAGATCCAAGACAGGTACCAAAACTACACAGAGAAACCCCGTCTCCAAAAATCAAAAACAAAACAAAACAAAAAAAATAAACACAAAGTAAACTATAACATGTGTCTCAGCATAGGTGAGAGGTGACATGCAATTCTCTAACGCACTGTGGTGATTATTTTTATCAGTCGTACTACGCCTGGAACTTGTACTAAGGCAGGAAGAGGACAGCTATTTACAGATCCTGTGTCATGCATGCCCAATCCTGACAGAAGAACACAGTCCATCTGAGAACCCCGAGGTCTCACTGACAGAAGCCTGAGACCCAACTCCGAACAGCAAGGGAGGCGGCAACACCTGTCACCTCCCGTGTGACAGGAAACCACATCACAGCCATCCGGCATGGAGGACTCAAGAGAAAACTAGACCGGGGTTTTATCAGAAAAGCCACTAGTAACTTTAAACCCAAACTGCCTTTGGGCCTGCACCGTAACTCCAGGCTGTTTTCAGGGCCTTTATCCGTCCATCCAATCAGATAGCAAAGACCAGGATTGACATCTCCTGCCGTGAAGTTTGGTAACAGAAGTCAGAGTGTCTATTCACAAAGTAAGTGATGACGAAAACCTGTAAGATTTCCTACTGGGATATGCATGCACACACATATGATCTTACGCTCTCCCTCCTCCCCGCCCCCGCTGCAGTGCCGAGGATCAAGCCCGGGTCCTGGCACATACTCAGCACATACCCCAGCCCTCATACTTTCTTCTCTGAGAGTGAGGAAGCTCTAGCAGAGGCTCACCTCTTCAGGGCTAGCCACAGTGAGGAGAGAAGCTGCACAGACGTGGAAGAGAGCAGACCACTCCAGTAGGCAGTGCAGGTCCCAAACAGAAAGAGGATCAGGGACACCAGAGGGAAGCACATACTCTGGCTAGTTAGCACGATGGCGTCTAATTCCGGCAACAACACTGCATCCCATAATTCCTTAAACCATTTGTACCTGTAAAGCAGACAGATGAAACCGTAAGACAGAAGCAAAACAACCCAAAATTCCAATAACGGATGCTTAGCCGTCTATTATTTGAGGTGTCTCACCATCTATTAGAAGTTTTAAAGGGCTAAGACGGTTTGTAAAATATACTGAAGACAAATCTTAATTCTTGTTTGTTTTTTTCAGATAAGCGCTCGTGTAGCTCAGCCTGGCTTTGAAGTATGGATCTCCCTGCCTCTACCTTCTGAGTGCTGGGACTACAAGTGTGTGCAAGCATGCGTGGTTTTTACTGCATTCCCTTCCATGTGCATGTGCGTGTGCGTGTGCGTGTGTGTGTGGTGTGTGTGCGCGCACGCGTGCATGTGAGTGTATGTGCATGTGCGTGTGTGTGTGTGTGCGTGGTGTGTGTGCGCGCACGCGTGCATGTGAGTGTATGTGCGTGTGCGTGTGTGCGTGGTGTGTGTGCGCGCACGCGTGCATGTGAGTGTATGTGCATGTGCGTGTTGTGCGCATGGAGGTCAGAGGAGGATACTGAGCACCTCCCTCTACAGCTCTGTGTGTGCCTTATTCCCTTAAGACAGGGTCTGCCACCGAACTGGTGGATTGCCATTTCAGCCAGCAAGCCCTTGGGATCCGGCGGTCCTTGCTCACTCAGTGTTGGGGTTTTACAAGCAAACACAGCCACAACTGCTTTTCATGTGGGTGCTAGGGGTTCAAACTCATGTTTCACAGTAAGTATTTTGACCCACCAAGTGAACTTCCCGGCCCTTGGCTCTTGATTCTTTTGAACAAGTCAATGAGTCTGTTGACCACTAATTATCCGAGTCCACAGCCCCAGAACGACTTTACTCCTACCGATCGCTGAATGAACTAATTCAGTGCTAACTTGTTTAAAGTCAGGAGTCAACAGCTATTTGGAATGACAGAATGAAAGAGGTCTAAGAAATTACCAAATGTGAGCAAATTAGTAACTGAGCAAATTAGCAACCTGGTTAAAGTGTAAACTTTTAGATTTTTAGACACATATAATAACTATATATAACTACTTATATATAAAAGTCTGTAATTACTTTTTTTTTTTTTTTTTGGTTTTTCGAGACAGGGTTTCTCTGTGTAGCTTTGCACCTTTCCTGGATCTCACTCTGTAGTCCAGGCTGGCCTCGAACTCACAGAGATCTGCCTGCCTCTGCCTCCTGAGTGCTGGGATTAAAGGCGTGCGCCACCACCACCCGGCTGTAATTACTTTTGATCACATTACTGAAAATAAATGTTGATAGACATATCGGGCCTTTCCCCAAAAGTTCCAGTTTAAGAAAACATCAGCTGCCAAATATCTATGAAAATTCATAGTATATTATGACATCAAAACAAAATTATTTTACAAACAAAATTAAAATCGTTATCACAGATAATGAAACTTACCCCAACAAAAACTTAACCATAATTACAAACGGGTCAACTTTGTACGGTTTGGCTTCTTTATCCAGTATGGCTGCATATTCTAAGCAATAACCTGGTGATAAAAGAAAATCATTTCTGGGTAATGAAGAACTATTAATTAAACAAATATACTTCATCTCTGAACACCAATGTGACACATAACAAAATCACAACACTGCACACCAGAAATGGTAGGGTCTGTCGTCCTACCATAGAGAGTACTCTTAGAAGGTTCACTGTAACCACACACTTAGTCACTCATCAAGGAAATGGAGGGTGTCATGGCCCAGCCAGGGCTTCACGATGTGCATTTTTATAAACCCCGAAAAGTGACTTCAAGAACAGGTTTATTGAGATATAATTCTTAAGCCACACAACCCATCCATTTAAAGTCCATAAATTCAGTGGGTTTTAGTGTATTTGGTTATGCAGCCACCAATACAATCAGTCTCAGAACATTTTCGTCACCTCAAAGAAACAGTTTGCTTTGAAATGACCCAGTTTGGTAACCACAAATCTATCTTTTGTCATAGCTATTCCTGTTCCGGTCATGTGATATAAATGGAGTCGTAACATATGATCTTTTGTGATTAGCTTCTTTCATTCAATACTTGTCAAGATTCAACCATATTTTAAGATATATAGGGATTTGGTTTATTGAGGTATTAGGGATTAAACCCGGTGAGGACTTCACAGATGCCAGGCAAGGGCCCTACTGCAGAACGATACCCTCAGCCCTTTATTTCTTTTTATTGGTGAGCGTATTTTTTTAGCAACTGCTTTGCTTATTATGAAGAGTATACTGTGGATATTTGTGCACATGTTTTTATGTGGATGGAAGCTTTCAATTCTCTTTGGGGTGTTCCTGAGAATGGAGGTGCTCGGTTCTGTGGTAACTCTGTTAATCCACTGAAGGAAGTGTCTGACTGTTTTCCACGGTTGTGTATGAAGGTCCCGATTTCTCCATCTCCTTATTTGCACATTATCATTCATCATGCTCGTTCTAGTGGGTACAACCTACAGTGACTGACGGTTTGCATTCCTGGTACATGACTACCTCTTAATTGGCTCGGGACACACTCGACCATTTAAATCCTCTGGAACAGCTAGCTTCAAATACCTCTAGCGTCTCCACAGACAATCCAGCAAATTCTCTGTGACTCAGAACCAATTGTCAGCCTTGGAACAAGGCAGTATGGAGCGCCTCTTTTCAAAGCACCACAAGCATCCTGAGGTCTGGCTGCAGTCACACTTCCGGAACTGCCCCACAACTAAAAGGCTAGGTCTGAGACTCCGAAGAGAAGAGCTGCATGTTCTCTCCACATGAAGAACCTAGTCTGCATGGAGGGACGCGTGCATATAAGTGGGTGTAAGCAAGAGTGAAGCCTAAAATACAAAGGAGACCAAGAGGAATGTGCTGAGGAGGTGGGGAGACTACCCTGGAACATGTGTCACGAAAGGGGTCCCCAAGGGTGTAAGGGAAGTCAATTATAATACACTTTTTGAAAAAAACACTATGATATTTAATGCTTTGTATGGTATTTTTTAAAAGGCCAGCGCTGGGGATAGAAAGATGGCTCAGCGGTTAAGAACACTGGCTGCTCTTCCAGAGGACCTGGGTTCAATTCCCAGTACCCACATGGCACCTCACAACTGTCTGTAACTACAGTTCCAGGGGATCTGGCACCCTCACACAGATATACATGCAAGGCAAAACACCAATTTAAAAAAAAAAAAAAAAAAAGGACAGTTCTGGGGCAGATCACATTTCTTCCCTCTCCATGGAACACAGTTTAACAGATTAAATATGAAGAATAAATTCACAAAAGTTATTAAAGGACATTAAAGTTTTGTGAAGGTCATTAAAAAAGAATTGAGTAGAAAAAGGTTTAGTACACAAAAATGGTGAGGAGGATTCCTGGCTTTTGATAGCTTGGCCTCAATCTTTTCCCCATCTCCTACCTCCTTTGAGATTGTCCAAGCATAACCAAGGTCTAGCCTCTTGGGAATCACTCTACACTCTTCAGAGCCATTCTGTCCTTCACTTTGCTGACCTTGGGAGGCTGACTTCTGTGGACCAGCTTCTTTGGGCAATAGCAGTAAACGGGAGAGCAGGAAGAAGTAAGGCTAAGCTCTCCCCACCTTCCCCTGCAAGGCCAGGTGGCAGTGACTGTATCTCCTGTCTTCTTCAGTCATGTGTCGGAGTTTTAAAAAGTGGTAATGAAGCATTGGCTCAAAAATCAGGAGAAGAAAAGGCTAGGGCATGAGCGGGGAGAGAAGCGAAAGGTGAGGGAGGAAGGGAAGGGACAGAGGAAGAGGAGAAAGGAGAGGACTGGGAGGAAGGCACGGGGTAAACCAGGAGGGCGAGTAAGATCTGAGCGTGCACGCACACAACTACAAGTTCATCCAACCCAAGTATCCTGGCTGCTGCAGCAGCAACAAGAGAGAAGGTGTGGACAAGAAGAGAACCTGAAGGCCACGGCTCTAGTTACTAACACGTTCTAGAAAACAGAGAGGACAGACGAACACACTCAACTCCATCATGGGGATGGGATCACCAAAATCTCAATTATGAAAAACACAGAAAACTAAAATGTTTTCAATAAATTACAAGGGGGAGTGGCGGGATTAGGGGAAACTGTAGCTACGGAACTGAATGATTAAACCTAAGGACACACCGCAGTGTGTGGATCTTACCTAAGACTGCGGAAGACGATAAAAGCACTCGGTGGGCCACTCCCAACCCTCTCTCTGTCCTGTCTCCATTCCTTCCGGTTTGGAAACTTCCGACTTCCTTCCTCATCCCCCCTCTTCCTACCCCATCTGCTTTCTTCTCTTCCATATTTTCACAGGTCATTTTTTTCTATATATGGGGACTTTTGTTCCTTTTATAAGACAAAAGTACTGAAAAAAAACTGAAAAGACACCAAGAAGACTGGTCACAAAATCACACGCTATTCTGGCGTCCCCAGGGACAGTGGTGGTGGCTAATTCTAAGGACTTTCTTATGATGCCTTCCACTTCAGCATAACCTAAACAAATAGGACCATGGGAATAAAGCCCAGTGGCAGTTCTTAGACTGTACCAGGCTCTGGTTCTGATCTCCAGTACTGGAGGAGCAAAAACAAACGACATCAATGAGCAAACATGACATGTGCCCAACAGTGGCTCCGCTTTAAGATTTAAAACAAAATTAACATTTAAGACGTAAGCACGGTTACCTGTTGAGAAGAGAGAATATAACTGTCCTCCGTAAGCCAGAAGGATGCTAGATACAACGTAGGCAGGAAGAGCCCCACCATGAAATCTAACCACCTAGAAAACAGACAAACCAAACGTCAACTGGGCAATATCTGTGCGGATGAAGTAAGCGTACTTTCACACAAAATAGAAAGTCGAGTCTTGTCTTTGCATTTTTTTTTCTGACATGGCCACACACTTATTTCTAGTCAGGAGCATCAAAATTCTAAGTAAATAAATATTAATAAAGTATAGTATCATAGAAACAGCTGAGTTTCTCATCAGAGGCATAAATAAGTTCCCATGCTACAACGTACTTTCAAAGCATCCTTATTGAGATCTAGTGTTCAGTCATGATAGCTGACATCTTATATGCATTATCTCATGCCCCCTTCTCAAAAAACAACCCTTAGAAGTGGTTTTCATCGCTACTTACATGCAGAAGAATTCAGGTATGGAGAGTACATACCTTGCACTATTACAAATGTTTTAATGGCAAACTTACTTCATCTCTGTGTGCTTATTAATAAAATGGGGACAATGCCAGTGTGTATAGGTGTTATAAAGACAAAGCATAGTCACTGTTTAAAGAAGGTGGAATGCTAACTCTCACTAGGTAAGCCATCTGAAATCCCTAGCTGGAATTGTTAACCTTCACTAAATCTGGAAATCCTGCAAAACTTGAACTTAAATTCAGCCTAAGCTCATAGCCATTATGTTCCGGTGCTTCAAGGTAACATACCCTATGTAAAGCATACTGTATTAAAAGGGATGTTAAGTTCATTGTTCCACTGGCATATAGTAATTAAGCAAGATGATAGACTCAATTGTGGTATTTTTATATATGCACATTAATGTTCTCTTAATGTTAAAATTAGTTTACCTTAAAGTTTTCTCCATTCCACAGAGTCCTTTTAAATCACAAACTGTCTGGTGACCTGAAACAGCCTATGGAAGTTGAAGCCTGACACAGACAGTGTAAGACTTCAAAGAGCCCAGTGTCTTCCTGGTCTTTCCAGTATCCTTCAAGGCAAGCTTACTGAGTGTTTAGTGTTTCGGGGACGGAAGAGGCACTTCACATGCACACCCATTCCCCGCAAGTCCTCTGAAGGAGTCTCATCCCTTTAGCAGACAAACTAGTCTCTTCCAGCTGTCAAGTCTATTAACTACAAACCAACCCTCCTGGCAAGACGTGCCCATCTCAGCAAGAGTGGCAGGGTTGTTACGGGTCAGCTGGCTGCCCTCCGTCTGGATCTGGGGCCCTCTCTACAGAAGGGAATTAATCTATGCCCGGTACTGTAAAAACAGTAGACAACCCATGCCTGGGAAGGGCAGAGGCCCCAAGGGGGAACTTACTACGGCTGTTTAATGAAATTGACACAGCAACAAACTGCCTTCAAAATCTCTATGCTTATACCACGGACAGAAGCCACTCCCAGCTTTTGTCAGAAAGTGCAGTGAACAGTGGTGAAGGCAGAGTCTCACAGCGACCCAAGATACCGAGAGTCAGTGATAACTGAGGGCCCAGCCTTAAATCATTTATGTCACTCCTTATAAGAATCAGGGGACACTGGAGGAGGAGGAGGGAGGAGGGAGGAAGAGTGTAAGAGCTGAAGGCAGGGAGGAGTCGGGGTACCAGCCATCTTCCAAACAAGACACAATGATTGCATTCATGTCATAGCAGCAGGGACTACTGTGCTTGGCCTGTCCAAGACTGGCCCCGTCAGTCATGTGTGTGGAAGGGACCATGGGTTCCTACCTCTTCCTGTTGGACTATTGGCTACTTATAGATTCGGGGAGAGGAGGAGGTATCGTCTTGAGTTGTGAACCCGGGGTAACCCCAGCAGGTTCTAATGGATAGCTCCAAACCCACGGTCATAGAGACGGCCCTAGTTCAACTGCGTGGGTCACAGACTAAAACAAACACAAGTGTGAGAAAGGGATGCGTAGGGAAGACGTGGGCGGTTAGTAAGTCATGGTGGGGGATGGGAGTAATCGGAAACTGTCCAGGAACAAATTAATTAATAAAAAAATTAGAAAAAGAATAGCATCAAATTTGCACAGCCATGCTTACTGCGGCCCCATCCACAAAACAAGGGGAGAGAGCAAGCCCATCAACAGGTAAAGCGGTAATGAAAGAGGCACGTTACATATACACACTGCATACACGTAATGGAATTTTATTTGACTATGAACAGATGAAATTACAAAATCTGCCGGAAAATTGTATAGATTTGGAAATAGAGCAGGGTGACACAAACTCGGAAAGATTTTTAAAAAAGCGCGTGCCTTCTCCTATGCAGATCCCAGCTTGTGATGTATCTATACATGCATATAAATGGTATAAACTAAAAAAAAACTACAAAGGAAGCCAAGGGGGCAAAACCGGTGCCAAGGAGGAGCAGGAGGGCAGAAGGGCACACGTGACGTGAAGATGTGTAGGAGACACGGAGGTCCCTGTGCTCAGACGAGCAGGAGGGAAACCAGGAGTGTTACACATGCAGGGTTTTCCACCCAGAAGGCTGGGAAAGGTGGTTAATGGCCTGGTAACTTCTGTACTATCTGTACGGCAGGCCACACTGCCACCCCAGACCCTTATGTTCATCTCGATCAATCTAGAGCTCTCTCCTCCCCCAGACCCTTATCAGGAGCATTGTTTACCTTGAGCCTGCCTCCTCGTTAATCCAGAGAACCTATTTTTATGGAAAATGTTACTTGTACTTTACAAGAGTTTTGATGGAGTCATGTCTTAAGCTTTTGTTGTACACACAGGATTGAGTTCATGATCACCAGGAAGCTTTTTTCCAAATTGTGCTGTGCTTAAATAGGCCTAAAAGAAACTTTCCAGGGTCGGACTCCAGGAGATCGAACCCAAACTGTTTACTGAGTCATGTGGAGACTTCCTTCTTGCCTTGTTCTGCTGGCCATGGTGTTTACAGAGACCCGTCCCCCCAACAATGAAAAGGAGATGGGGGCGAGTTAAGGTAGGAAGGACAGGGGGAGTTGAGTGATGGGAAGAATTAACTAAAACAGTTGGAAAATGTCATAATGACATATAATAATACTTTGTGCGCTAATTTAAGGAATAAATCTAAAAATACACATCAAATGAGTTAGATACATTACACAGAAGTTCATTCTCCTAGATCTACAAGCCAAGTAATTAAGGATGAATGAAGAACACGTGCTTTTCCATTTTGGACTTAATCAACACACGTTCTTTATTTGATTTTAAAAAGAAAAGACCTTTGATCTTGCGACACTAATGCAATCTTACATTTAGAAGGATTTCCACATCTAAACGCAAATGTTACTTTGTTTCTATATCTAAACACAAATGTTACTTTGTTTCTACATCTAAACAAAAGTGTTACTCTGTCCTCTTAGTATGACTGTCTTTGATTATTGCATACTAAGGTAACTTGAATTTTCTCATCACTAATCTGAAATATGGACCACGGGATCCAGATAAGAGCCAATGTCTACCTTCACTCTTAGCTATGTAAGTGACAAGTCTTTTGCATACTTTGAAAACATAAGAGCAGGAATTACTTTGTATTACAGAAAATAATTTTTAATTGGTTCCTTAACTCTTTATAAATTTTTAAGTATTTATGATGCTATTTTACAACTCAAACTAAAATTTACTTATTTCTTCATGATTTATAAAAAATATTTATACATTAACTGAATTTTATTATGTTCATAAACTTTACAATAATTGAAATCTAATTCCCAAAAGGTTGTTGTAAGGCTCAAATGAGATAATGCATACAAAAATGTTTCTAACTCAATTTTAATAATTGAATTACAATCATGACCAAGTACAAAATTATCAATATTATCTTATGATTCAAGAAAGTAGTGTGTCTGAGACATAAAATGCAAAGTTCCAAAAATCAAAGCAGCAATAAAAATTTTGTTGTATTAATTTCTATGTCTTAATATTGTACAATTCTACAAGTTCTAATAAAAAAGACTAATATTTGTGGTCCTACTTTAAAAATTACTGGTTTACAGAAGAAGACTGAAATCCCTACCAAATCACAAGGCAATAAGTAATCAATCAACTTGCATTAAGTTTCTCTTACCTGTCCAAGTATTTGTGGAAAGGAAGTCTTAATTGTCACCTAGGATAAAATAATTGTTTTAAAAAAAGGTTATTTTTCCTAAACTCATTTCATGTTTTATTAAATTGAGTACTTCTGCATATCTTTTAAGTATGGTGATTTTTGAACAATTAAACAAATCTTCAAGAATGTTCTAAACCATCATATTAACTGTCTGAAGTACAGTTTACTATTCTGTATATTTTCTAGTATACTTCCTCCTCAACAATTGGATGAATGCTACGGTATGTGGATGGCAATCCTTTACTAACTAGAATATTTAATTAACCACAATATGTTATAAAGAGATCATGTTGTTAAAATAATTTAAATCAAAATGATATTTATGAAACAAAACTCATCGTTAATACACATTAGACACTAAGAAATCTGGGGAAAGGAGACGTTTCTTAAAGAAGTTATGACAGTTATCTACAACATGGCTGTAATATGCTGCCTTGCTAAAATATAGACTTCCTGAAAACAGCAATATTGATTTTCAAAAACTTGGATATTTAGCAAGTATGCAGTATTGAAGGCAAATTGACAGCACATTTTTTTTTTTTTTTTTTTTTTGAGACAGGCTCTCACTGTGGCTGGGCTGGAACTCACTATGTAGACCACACTGGCCTCAAACTCACATAAATCCACCTGCCTCTGTCTCCCAAGACAACGCATTCCTTATCATTTTAATATTGGAAATACAAAGTGGCAAACTGAAAAAATGCAGTAGACCTGCAATACCCATCACTGTTGGAGACAGAATACAAAATATCATCCATGAGTTCCATGAGATACAAATTAATTCATTATATAGGTGCACCTGAAACTTGGTCACAAGAACAGATTCCACCACTCTGCCATCCCCTATTTTACCCTAAAGAAGTTACTCCTATTACAGAATCCAAACTCTTATGGATGCCAACCAAGAATAAGATATTTCACATAAGCCAGAGTGTCATAACACCACCACTGAAAAGCATAGGGATCTTTAAAAAGTAGTAAAAGGTGAGATGCTTAAAATAACCCAGTACTGGTACAAACCAGTATGCACCACATCTGTTACTAGAGTAAAGCACAGCAGCTAATTAGATGAAGCTCTTCAGTTTATGAAAGATTCTTGATTCTGGGCTTTAAAACTTAGAATAACCTTTTAATAAATTTAAAATTTAGAATAACAATATTCTAATTATTTAGAATAATAAGTTTCCTCTTCTTCTATATGATGCTCACATGCTCAAACAGTCTATTCACAGAAATACTAAGATATTGTAAAGAAGCAGAGTGGAAAATATTTAACAGTTTAATTTCTCATATTTATGGGCTTCTACATCAATATGTATCTGCAACTAACAGAAAAAGAAGACCTCTACTTGTCTATAACTGAAGCGTACTTAATGATGCAAACGTATGTCTTACCTCATACTGACAGTCTGACGACGTGTACATTTTTAACAATGCCACGTGGCTGTCATTTTCCGGCTGAGCAACATGAAGTTTCAGAGAAATCTCTGTGGAAGATGGAACCCTAAAGAGATTATTGAAATATCAATCCTCAGATATGAAATGCTGGAAAACAGCCACGGCTGAGTCAATTCTCAGCACCATCTAATGAAATGATGTAGAGGAAGGTAAAGGACACATTGTCATCATGAGGGGACACTTTGATTCACGGCAGTTATTTGGCTGCTCCCTCAAGCACGTGGGGAATGGCAGAGATAAGGGTAAGATGTTAGGGCAAGACGTAAGTGCTCTGTTCTTTAAATCGATTACTGTACATCTACCTCAAGTGGTGGGCGTGACATTAAAGGGTGCGTACACTGTGCTAAGAGGAACTCTAATCATGCACATGGCTGAAATGAACTAAGCACAAATCTACTTGAGAACCCCAAAGTTTAAAGTCAGTTCTCTCGTATACTCACTGTGCAATGGTGAGGGAGTCTTCGTAAGACCAGGGGATGTGAAGTTTGTAGATACTAGTTATCTCTTCTGTTAAGAAACAAAGGGGAGAAGCATTACTCTGCGTGTTATCTTAACTTGTACACGAGCTAGAAGACTACTAACTAACATAGAAACTACCCATTTTAGAAAAAGATCAGTGTGGGTCATAGTACATAAAAAAAGATTATTGAATATTAGGCTCATAAAAGACATTACAGTATATTAGTAGTACTAAGAAATCTAATACAAAATTAAACAGCTAAACTTGAATTGCTACTGTAAGAAGACAAAGATCTACAGTACTTTAACCTTTTTTAAATTTATGATTACTATTATGCTGTGTATAATGCTTGCATGTGAGTACACGTGGGTGTGTGGAGGTCAGAGAGACTTAATGGAGTCATTCACTTCTTCCACCTTTGTGGGTTCTGGGAATTGAGATCCAGTCTTTATCTGCTGAGCCAGCTCACCCATCCCAAAATATACAGTACTTTTGAACACAGAAATATGGTTTACTATTAAGAGAAAAATCTATGCTAAATCCCTTGAAAACAGAAATATTGATCACATATTTAATTTTACTCCATATAAAATACAGGAAAGAAAAGAGATGCAGTAAGAAACATTCTAGAAACATCAAAGCAACTTGCTGGTTCTTCAGATGTCATACTGTACACTCACCTTTGCCTCCAGAGCACTTGCTTACCACGTTGACTTTAAACGCTTGGTATATCTGATAAAGTTTGACAAAGACAAAAACCCAAAGTTGACTTGTTTAATGAAATAGCAAAGGAAGATGCAATTCCTCCTGTTCTACTCATGAGAATTACCTGCCCAAAGTTCAGAAGCTCTACATTGTAGTACAGGCCACTCATATTTAGTATCACCTTCCGTGAAGACAATCCTGTTGAATTAAAAGGACTGTATTATCCAGAAACCAGAGAATTTTAAAAAACGGGTTGATTGCTCAAATAGCATTTAAAATTAATAACAGAATTTTGAAATTAGGAGAAAAATCTGTTGACGTGGTAGCATGTCAGCGGAGGTGATGAGTTTAAGGCCAGGCGAGGCTGCGTGCTGAATTTGGAGCCTCTGGACTACCAGGAAGACCAGCTAAGTCAGGTTTTCACTGTTGATATGTAGGAAGCAACGGCTAAAAATCAAATTCTCGTGCAGAAAATGCTGAATGAAACAGTACTTATAATGACTTTCTGATACTAAAGAGATTTTTTTAAAGTCAAGTACTTATCTCCAATTTTAGGAAGATTTGCTGTCTAGAGCATGCTTTTTAAATGATACAGGTAATTCAGAGTCATTACTTTTGGATTTTCCTGAGCATTTTGTACCCCAAAAACAGGGAGCCAGGAGGGGTCCCATGAATAAAATATCCACACTAAGCAAGCACTCCACCACGGAGCTAGGCCCACACCCCAAATATACATTCACTAATCTATACCGTCTTTAAAAATAAATGAATAAATAAGACAGACGAGGCAACTCCATCTCAGACAGGATTTCAATAAATGGAGACTGCAGGAGTCCTTACTTGCTAAAGAATAAGTGGCCCATGGTATGCTAAAATTAATGAGCTGCACATTTTTTCCAAATTATTTCCTCCAAGATACTTATTAATGGTAAAGGGAAAATAGTAACTGCATAGTAGAGGTATCTGCCAGGTACCACCGTAATTAACCAAAGGTCAAAATTAACACCACAGTAAGGAGGGTCATTAACATCACGCACTCTGACACACGAGGAAGGCACATGAGATCTGTGGTGTTCTTGGCAAAAATACGTAAGCTCAACCTGAAAATGCCACAGTACTAAACATATCCAAACGAAGAGACGCTCTACAAGTAACTGAGTACCCTTGAAATGTTCCCATGTGATGGAGGCCACGGGAAGACTGAGATGAACTTCAGGAAACACTGGAGGAACTCGAAAGCGGAAAACTTATGGCTACAGTTCCAGCCTCCATGCCTTTGCATGGCCGTTATGTTCTCTGATTATACACACTTTGTTTTATAAGTTGCCTTGGTCATGATGTCTTATCACAGCAACAGAAAAGTAACTAAGCAACATCCCACTAGAGTTCACTTGTCAGGAGCTGACTGCTGGCCCAGTGTTTGGTGAGTATCAAACCAAAGAACCTGACCATGTAGTTTCCTAAGAACTGTACTTGAAACATACTAGTATTTAATATTCATGACTGGCAAGATAAATTGGCACTGCTAAAAGCTATGCTTAAGCTTCAAAAACAAAATACTTACCAAAGGAAAAAAGATGAGTCACAGGAAGCTGTAAGGATCTTGTTTCTTTTTTAAAGAACTCACAATCTACGACAAACTGAGATATGACATTGATTTATTAGAAAATATAGAATTCAACTTAGTAAAAATCTTGATGTTTGTGTGGAAAGCAAACTTCAGCTCTGGAGGAAGCAGCACTGATTACACAGTAGCTCTGACAAGAACTCCTGAAGCAGGAGCTATGCTGAGAGGACTGGGTAAGCAATTTCTTATCAAATACACTAAATTATCTGAAGGTCATGTATATAACAAGTTCATTGCAAAGTTTTATTAAAACATAATAAAATGTCTTTCAGAGGAAGAGTATTAAAGGGTAGATCAAAGCACTGAGATGCAAAGATAATTGAAGATTAATTAAGGATTTAGATAATATGTCTCTGAGTACTTTCCTAGTCAGAAGGGAAATGTAACTTTGTTACTTACGATTTTTTTATTAAATCCTGTAATTTTTAAATATCTATAGTTTAATCAGGCTTCAAAAGGCATTTGTAGGCACTCATCTATAGCTAATGCTGTTTATATGAGATTACAGATCAGCCAGCTATTGCAGAAAATGGAAAAAATGAATTCTCACTTATGAAAACGGGGGCTTTTCACAAAAGGAAACCTAGACTATGGCATGCCACTACAAGTTTTATTTTGACATTTCTTTTTTTAATAACATTTCTAGACATGTGTAGGAAACTCTGTTTCGGCTATCTGCAGAAGGAGCAGTTTCTGGAAAGGCACAGAGATATAAATAGCCACAACAGCACAGAATTATTCCATCACCTCACCAGTAGGAGGTGATGGAAAAATGAATATAATCCTCACAACAGAAGACAATTTGCTGTCTCGAGAGAACGGAAGCCACCAGAGTCCATCCTGGGCTTTTGTGACAACTCCACCTTAGGTATCTCAGCCATGCTATTCCTTTGCCCACAGATGGACTGTCAGTTGTTCTTGACATTGGACAACAGGTGTGGGAGACTCCATTAGACCTGTCCGCATGGGCGGCGCACAGAAAGAAAAACACTGTGCTAAGTGCTCTCCTTTCAATCCTTCTCTCAAGCCAACAAGAACTCCTTCCACTTCAGAAAAGAGCTACTCAAAGACTAGAAATCATTTATTGAACAGGATTATTCATATTGTTACAAAGCGCTTTTGGGTGAATCACGAGATAGGGAAGCAGTTTTTAAAAGCAATCTCAGTCATTCTATCTAAAGGTATTTAAAAAACTAGAATTTTTTTATTATTTTAAAATTTGGCTGTGCTCTTAGCTTTGTATGATGAAACAAACCCTTAACCAAGAAAGGCAGAACCCAAAGGTCTCTCTCTAAAATATCCGAAGTCAGTCAGCATCTGGGCTTGTTTGTTTTTGATCCGGGGGGAAAATGCAGCTCATTCCACACTATAGTTCCCAAATCTAAAAGCTATCCTTTGATATCCACTTTTTGTACGCAGAAATCAAAGATCTAAATTCTCTTTCCAGTGAGTGAGCGAGAAACAGCAGAGAGAGAGAGCAGTGTTACTTTCCGGAGAGGACTGAGACGGATTATGCATTCATTAGTCTGCTACAACTATCTATTTACAGAAGGGCTCACTGATCTCCTGGTATAACCAGAAAAGGCCTTTACAAGTTTGGGAAAGATGTTAGATTCATTCAAAACCAACTGACCTCATAGGAAAACCCTTAAAGAGGGCGTTTAGTACTGAACATGCTGAATTACCTCTCACTTGAGCTAAGCAAAACAAAACAATGAACTCAGCTCACAGGTACTGTGAGACTCAGTCTTCAAGACGACTCGCAGCTACACCCTTATCCTTTCCCTACTTTCTTCTAAATTTTCCTAATTATTTTCATCACAAATCTCATCCACTTTCTCATTCAAAGAACTCTGCGTTTTTGTTTGTGTGTTTAATGTGGCAGTCACTGCAGATCAGAGGTGCAAAAGTGTGGGGAACAGTGTATTGGGCTGTTAACCTCAGAGTTCCCAGTATGCTGCTGACAATCGAGATACTAGCAAATAATTTAGAACGTAGTATAATATGAATATTCCCCAGAGCGTCACCCAAAAGTATCGCGTGGATGGCTGGGGGAGTGTGGGAAAGCAGGAAAGGAGCCTCGCTTGGGCTGGACCTCGAAGGGGGTCCGTCTGCTGGTCTACAAGGAGAATGGATAATGGGGCTTCTCCCCTCTACACTTTCCTCCCTGTGACGCTCTCAAAGCCCCCCACTTTTTATTCTCACCTCCACCCCACGACTACAGCCCCTCAAAACCCCTGCAGCGGTGGTCAATCCTCCTGCTGCAGCACCCTCCACCACAAACAGAGGAGGCCAGCGCTGCAGTCGGTGAGCGCTCTAACGGCTTCCTGTTGCCCCTGTCCACGGCTTCAGTCGGGGATTCCACAGCGCCGCCCAGAACAGTGTTCCTGCGTTTCTGTCCACTGTTACGCTATCTTTCAAAAGGCTGGCCTTTCCAAATTATTTACTTATTCACTCATTTCCACACCATGCTTTCTCACTGTGTTTTGTTTTTTGTTTTGACTTCTGTGTTAAAGAACTGTTGATGACAGTTTTTATAGCCATGCTGCTACTGAGTTTCTGGAATGTGTACAGTACAAAGAGACTGAAATTTGGATTTTTGTTTAAATTAATTTAAATGTAAATAGCCACACATGGTAGTAACTTGGGGCTTGACAGAAACGATTTAGGATATTCTCCTTACAGTTGTTCATCATCACCTCCCATAAAGCCATTCTGAATTCCTCAGTATATTATTGTGGTTTGCACTTTCCACGGGCTTGTTATGCTCTGACTTGTATTCTATGCATTTAAAAAACCTGCCTTTTCTCATTATCTGACATTGCTCTTTTTCCTCCTTACAGCACAGGATGACAAATCAAGGAGATCCTTTCTGTATTTCCTATTAATTCCCGATACCTTGTACATAAAACGGTACCCAGCAAGTTTGGAAAGACTGACACACTGAAGCCAGTTTGGCACAAAAGGATCTGTATTTACTCTGCGTAGTTGCTCAAGGGGAGGGGTTATCCTAACGACGTGACGTCAGGTGGATCACCACACTGGCCCTCGTTTTAGGTAACCCTGAACCTATTTGGAAATCAACAGAAAGCGGTTTCCCATGAGCATCCTCCGTGCACTCCAGAAAGACCTTAGCCTATCTGTTACCTTACTTCCATGGACAGACGGTACGTAGACAACAACATGCGACAGAGAAGGATAGTCCTGGAGTCGTAACGTCAGAGACTGAAAGGAAAGGCAGAGATACAGAGTCACTTTTATTTCCAAGGCGAAGATGAATGCATGCAAAGAAAAATCACAGAAACTTATTCCTCAGTGAGTAATTTTAAAAATCATCTCTTAAGTCACTCACTTAATAGGCATGAGGCCCTGAATTTAACTTTTGGCATCTCCTCACACCCCCACACAAACACACACAAATCAAGTTTATATCCACATTTACACTCTCAGATCAATAATCCTACAAAAAGACAAATTTATGATAACTACTGTTAAACATAAACCACCTAAAATATTCCTTGAAATAGCTCTTCAGATTGAAAAAAATGATGTTTAACATTAAAGTTAATGATTTTTAATTTTATAACAGTTAACTTTATAATTATTTCCAAATGTGGTGTGTTTCTTTTGTACTTCGGCTATCTATTACAGAGAGCATTATGGCAGTATTTCTACATTTATGGCAGTCAATGACAAAGAACACTCCAAAGTTGCTAAATGTGATGGAAAAGTTACAACTTAGTCTCCAAGGATTCTAACTTAGCGAAAGTAGCAAAGAGTCACTGGCTAATATACAAACACCATCCACCATCCAATAACATTTATTTAGTACATGACAAAACACATAATGATACATTCCACCAAATGAACAACTATAATTTGTTCTACTACATAAAAATTAAAACCAGATTGTATATCTGTATTTGGGGAATGGACTGGTTGGAGACTAGCCTTTTCAATAATTTACCAAGATTCCAAACACAGTTTTCAACCCAGTTTTATGTCTGGAAGTAGATGTAGAACTGGAATGAATATAATATGTGGGAAACATTAAGTTTCCACAGACATTTGTTTTCTTCGCTCTCTTCCAGAAACACCAGTGTGGGGAAGTAGGACACAAGCCACTTCCCTAAAAACCTGAGGAAGTGACCAGCCTGACCAGAAGCCCAGCTAAGCCACAAACTCCTGCGTCTTAACGGAAACTAAAGACACACAAAGGTGCCACACAAACTATAGGCATCTGGGAAGAGAGCCTGAAAGATAAACCAGTCAGGAAGAACGGACCTGTTCTGTGGAGCAATCAGCTCTAACAGCTACTGAACACGGATTCTCAGTAACGGCAGGTTAGAATTCGTAACATTTTACTGGAGGACTCCACCCATTTATTAAAGTCCAGTCGGCAGAGATGCCTCAGAGTGATGATTTTAATGACATTACCTCTGTTCAGATGACATTAATATGCATAAAACCTACGAAGCATCTTCACTTAATCTTTTCATCACATTTCTTTATTTGTACACCTCTGATGTGGAGAAAGGGCAACATAGAAATTACTGCCTGGTTTGAATACGCTGCGCTGTCCTAATTAAGGAAATGAAAGCTACATCTGACAGTGATCCCTGGGACTACAACACTGGTCACACGGAGGAAACGAAGCAAACAGTGTGAGTCTGAGACCTTCAGGACATTTTTATTCAGGAAAAAACTTAGAGGAATCTTTAAGATCTTTGTTAAGTCTCAACAAGCATTGTTTTTTCCTTTAAACAAGTACCCTTGCCTTCATGATGGCCTATGCTAGCTTATTTACTTATTATTAACTTTTGGAAACACACGAGGCTGGCCTTAAGCTTACCGTGTAGCACATATGGCATGAGCCACCATACTTTGCTTTATTCCCTCATTTTTATGGTTTAAAAGAAAACCATGGCCGGGCAGTGGTGGTGCACGCCTTTATTCCCAGCACTCGGGAGGCAGAGCCAGGCAGATCTCTGTGAGTTCGAGGCCATCCTGGTCTACAGAGTGAGATCCAAGAAAGGTGCAAAGCTACACAGAGAAACTCTGTCTCAAAAAACCAAAAAAAAAAAAAAAAAAAAAAAAAAAAAGAAAGAAAGAAAAAGAAATCTGTACCTAAAAATCACTGATACATTATATAAAATTTGTTAGTATAATGGGAAAGCTTGTTTGTGTTTAATATTATCTTAAACTTAAAAGACCTAGACTGAAGAATGCTGTAATCTTCTCTTCCAGAAATCACTATTAAAAAGCAGACAGCTAGAGGCAGCTGGATCTCTGAGTTCGAGACCAGCCTGGTCTACAGAGTGAGTTCTAGGATAGCCAGATACACAGAGTAGACAGCCAGAACAGTTTGTTTTCCCGCTATCCAGACATCTGATTCCTAAATTAAGAACAAACATGGGCTTACCGTTTGGTAAACACATTTTTCAGTCTTTGTAGATTTATAAAAAAACAGTATTTACTTGTGAAATTTACATGTTTTGAGAACCGTTCTCATGATACAAAGACAAGTCCTCACTATGCTGCCCGGTTGCGGGAATGCTTGGCTGTCTTCCTTGCCTCCGCTTCCTAGGCACTGGGTTACAGGCGTGCGCCACACCCGGCTAGGAAATGCATTTGAAGAGCAGGGGCAGAGTATGTTTTATAAGGTCTTTAGTCACTCATTCCTCCCGGAAATGATAAAATAAATAGAATTCCCAAGCTGGAAACTGAAGGGAATACTCATTGCATCTCAAGAGAATGAGATACAGTTCTACAATCAGATCAATCCTGAGACCTGTTTGTTTGGCTTTTGCCTGGAAGATTAGGAAAGACTCAGAGATGGATTTTTTTTTTAAGATGTTATTGAGTAAAATTGCTTCTTTATACATTTGTTTTACAAACACAAATCATATTCGTATTCCAAAGAGCGACCAAAGCAAAAAATAAACAAACAGAACAAAACAAAAACCAACCGGAGTTTGTTAACTGACTATTCCCCTGACATGATGCTTCTTTTAAAGTTGCTCTCTGACAGTACAATGAACACTGGGTTAACTGTTTATACACATTAGCATTCCGGCCACTCAGGTGACTGAGGCAGGAGGAGCGTGGGTTCAAAGCCCACTTGGGCTATAAAGAATTCAAGGGCAGCAAGCACACTTAGTGAGGCCCCTCCCCCACCTCAGAAATAAAAAGCAAGAGGCTGAGGACGTGACCCAGTGATGGAGAGGACGTGACTGGAGGGCAGGCCCCAGTACTGCTCACTCAATAAAGAAATCAGTATCAGTGAGAAAAAATAACTCAACTGGTATCAATGGGAGAGGACTGGGACCGGCTAGATGTCTTCTGTTTCACAACTGAGTTCATTAGAAAAGTATGTTTTATTTTAAGGGATGGATTTACTTGGAAACTGAAACCACCAAACCCAGATGAGGCTGTAAATTATAATAAACGCAATTTGGAAATCAGAACAGATATTTTCATCACATTACAGACTTGTTTTGTGTTTTCCATAATAGATTTTGAGACTATACAAATTAGTCATTTCGTTTTTTTGTTTTGTTTTTTAAAAAGACTTGTGAACTTACCAGAGTCACTTAAAGAAATCACTGACAATTATTAAGTAATTCCATGTTGTCATTTACCACCCTGGAGAACTAGATACAAGAGTTTCCCAATTGCTTAACTACAAAGTGATGTAATCTAGAAAATCACTCAGCATCTCTTTGAAATACTTACTACCCACTGCAAGATCCTTCCTCCCAAACTGAATTCTCAACAGAATACATTAACCAGTTTATAGTTTAAGAACGAACCATTTAAGCATATTCCACCCCGTCCTCCCACCAAAAAAAAAAAAGAATTTAAAAATTCTCCCTGGCTTCTTTAGTAAATGAAGCTGCAACAGGTTCAGCAAATTGTCAACTTACAGTTTTTAATCTCTGAAAATAAACAAAGCACAGCTAATCGTTTGCTACTCCTCATCAAATATATTTCCAAAGAAAAGACTCCTGAGACTTTTAAAAAGAGCACATTCTAAAATGTCTACCAGCTGAATTATTTTACCTAAATATACAATTCTAAAGCTATCATTTACCTTAATTGTTGGCAGCAGCTCAGCTTTCCATGATAAATCAACCCCTTGCCGGCTTTGAAATAAATATGAAGGTATAATTAGAGGACAAATGTTCAAGCATTATAATTTACAAAGAAACTTCGGAGTAAAGAGAAAAACCATCTGCATGCAGCCCTGGAGGGGAGAGACTGCATAGCTGTGATGTATGTAGTCTACAGAAAAGCCAGAGAGACTGTATAGATGTGACTTATGTAATCTATACAGAAAAACCATCTGCAGCCCTGGAGGAGAGAGACTGTATAGTTGTGACGTATACAAGTCCATAAAATTCCCTTGGGGAAAAAAAAAAAAAACTATTAGTTTTTCCTAACAATTGATTAGTTAAATGTCTAAAAAAAAGTTTCGAGTTATAAATCTCCTTTGATTTTCATTTAAAACAACGTCAGGACCAGTGAGGTGAGTCAGTGGGAAAAAGCTCCTGCAGTGCAGACTTGACAGCCTGAACCCAGAATGAAAGAGGAGACCCAGCTCCCAAAGCTGTCCTCTGAACTTTATACATACACCATGGCATGTGTGCTTGAGCACACATGCACACACACACACACGGATGCATGTGCACGCGCACACACACGCACATTTGCACACACACAGCACATATACACATAAAGCACAAACACGCACACATGCATATACATACATGGGCATATATAACACACACAGAGTAATCAGAATTTAAAATATAAAAATTACAATTTGATACAGCAAGTAAAACAAACATATGATGAGCATACAAAGCTCTTCTGGCCATGTGCTGTGGTTCACATCTATAATCTCAGCACTGGGGAAGCTGATGCAGGAGAATAACAGTGAGTTTCAGGCCATCCAGAGCTACACAGTAAGTTCCAGGACAACCTGAGCTGAAGAATGGGACCTTACTCAAAAACCAAAGAGAAAAAAAAATTGTGTGTGTGTGTGTGCGCATAAATGCATGCATGCATATATATATATATATATATATACACACATGTATATATATATATATATATATATATATATATATATATATATATATATATATACACACACACATATATACCCCTATTCTGAATTTTTAACTTCTAAGCATTGTTCATGGTAAGAAAAATGAGCAAGTGGTTCAAACAACTTACCACATAGATGTGCTGTTTATGCAGCCAAAAATCCAACTATTTGTATCCTGTTGGTTAATAACAGAAAACAATGATATAAAACAAACATCTCCAATACTTTCCTTTTATGTCATCGATAGATATAATATATGGAAACATTGGTAGTTAGGATCAAGGAAAACAAAGTGGTAGTTTGTGACTAAGAAACATCCAATATGTTCTTAAAAGACACACAGGTCAAGGGCAGGCCCTGAGTAAACTACTAACCAGATGAACAGTTGACCCACAGAGCAGCATGAGAGTGACCTCAGGGCATTTGTGCAGCCCATGACCTAAGTATATCTAACTGCTGCCCCCAAACTTCCAGCCTCACAATGTCCATATGAGTCATATATAGTGACCTGCCTTCTAACCAAAGTAAGTATGAACTAGAGAGACTTTTCTAGAAACAAACACCCACAGTCAGGAAGTCAAAAACAAATACCTTCACATTTAAAAGTTAGCCTGTACACAGCTTTTTACGTTATTACCCACATTCTAGTCTGACTACCAGGACATAACTTCTGTATCACCAGGCATGTGTTTAGTCTGAAACCCACCTGCAAAGGCTGGACCCTGAAGGTAGCCTCTACCTCATCAGCACAGAATTAGATGCTATAAAATGGACTGCCTTGCTTTCTCCCTCTCCCTCTCCCTCTCCCTCCCCTTCCTTCCTTCCTTCCTTCCTTCCTTCCTTCCTTCCTTCCTTCCTTCCTTCCTTCCTTCCTTCCTTCCTTTTTAAGCAAAGCATCCTACATTTAGCTTTGGTTGTTTAAAAGCACTACCACCTGAGATTTTTACTCCAGCTGTCATGGAAGCCAACGTGATATCCAGGATCTGATGCTACTGAAATCCTACCAGAGTGCAGGATGATGTGGGGCACTGTCAAGGCAACTCTTTAAGCTGCCTTAGAATCGCAGATAAAGCAATGACGAGATCAATCCTTTCATGGAACCAATGTTTATAAAGTCCATTCTGAGGCCAAAAAAGTTACGGTCTCAGAGAAAATGATGAGTCAGGCAGTCAGTCTCTGATCTCATCAATAAATAAATAAAAGATTTTTTTTTTTTTAAGAATAAGGGAAAATAACAAGTAAGTATTTCTCTCCTCTCTCTGTAGGCAAAAAGCTTCTGTGGTTCCAGTTCCTCAGAATGAGACATTCTGAAGCAGGAAGACAGGCCAGAGCTGCAGGTTAGCGTGGTTATTCACGGACACTCACAAACCCCAGCACTTAGAAGTCAGGAATAAATGAAGTCAGAAAGGCAGAATGCTGGTGATTGTTTAAAATTGTGTGCTGGTTACAAAATAATTCATTATCATATTTTTCCTTTCTTTTATATAGGTTTACAAGTTCTACAATAAAAATTGAAAAAAAAGTTAAATCACGTATTACCTTATGGTAATTAATACTACTCAACTGACTTAGTTCCTTTTCTCCTGCTGTGGCAGAGCACCATGACCAAAGCAACTTATAGAAGACAGCATTTAATCTGGGGCTCAACAGTTCCAGAGGGTTGGAGTCCATGGCCATTATGGAGGGGACCACGGCAACAGGCGGGCAGGCGTGATGCTGGTAGCTAAGAGCTCACACCTCCATCTACAAGCCCAGGCAGGGAGTGCCAACCGGGAATGGCATGGGCTTTTTTTTTAAATATTTATTTATTTATTTATTTACTTACTTACTTATTTACTTATTTATTTATTATGTACATAAAAGAGGGTGCCAGATCTCATTACAGATGGTCAGGACCTCTGGAAGAACAGTCAGTGCTCTTAACCTCTGAGCCATCTCTCTAGCCCTGGCATGGGCTTTCAAAAACTCGAAGTGTACCCTATGACCTATCTCTTCCAACAAGGCCACACCTCCTAATCCTTCCCAAACAGTTCTACCAACTCAGGTCTAAGTATTCAAATCTATGAGCCTATGGGGGCCATTCTCATTCACACCAACATATTGAAGACATTAAATACAGAAAACAACCCCTAGTCACTCAAATGCATGAGCTGTATTTTAACAAGCATTTTTGGTAATATAATTTTGACCTCCTGCTATGGTTTGAGTATGAACCATCCCCATAGGATTTTTGAACACTGTGGAATCTTCAGGAGGTGAGGCCTGGTTGGGAGAAGTCAGATGCTGTGGGGCGGGTGCTGAGAGCTACAGTCCAGTTGAAAGTCTGCCCCCAGGTCTGCTGCCTAATTTGCTGAGATGGGCGGGGTCTCATCAGCTGCACTTTCTGCTGCCACGAACCGCCTCACCTTCCCTGCCATGATGGGTAGTGCCCACTTAAAATGAACTCTCCCTTAAGTTGCTTCTCTCAGGTACTCCACCACAGTGACATCGAAGGTAACAACACGCCTCCTAGTTTGAAATGTCGCATTCCATTGATCATTACATAATGGCAATTAATAATTACACTACATTAATAGTGGGTATGTTAAGCTATCCCTCTGAAGAAGATTCCTTCAGGATCAACTGCCTATCCCGATTTTAGGCTGAGAGACGCTGATATCTGAGAGACAAAAAGCTGGCAATTCCACTAAAATGTAGTATTCTTCCGAAACATGCCCACAGTGGCTGCCTACAACCTTTCCTTTAGAACTGCCCTGTATGTGATGATTCTACTGGTAAAGTAATACACTGGCTCTGAGTTCTGCGCACATGTCAGCTACTCAAGAGCCTGGGTAGGACGTTGAAAGGCTAACCTGGACTACACAGCAAGACTCAGCCTCAAACAAACAATATGAATGACAAACATTAAAAGCTTAGCTGATAAAGAATTAAATTATGAAAGATGAAAATACAATGTAAAGAATCCTGAGCCCGGCATGGTGGGGCACACCATTTAATCCTAGCACTTGTGAGACAGAAACAGGTGGACCTCTAAGTTCAAGGCCAGCCTGGTCCTCACAGAGAGTTCCAGATCAGCCAGGAATACATGGTGATTCTTAAAAACAAAAAGAATCCTGATACATACCAAAACCAAAATTTTAGAACAGAGGAAAAAGACCTCAACAGTTTTTTTAAAAAGGAAATTTCACGAATTTGTATACTAGTCTGGTCTATATAGGACCAAATTAGTGTATGTGTATGTGTATTTAGCCAGGTATTTATTTATTTATTTTTAATTAATTTTACACCCTGACCACGGCCTCCCCTCCTTCCTGTCCTCCCAATTTCTCCTCCCTCCCCTCAACCCACCCCTCTACCATATTTGCTCAGAAAGGGGCAGGCCTCCCATGGGCTTCAGAAAAGCACGGCATATCAAGCTGCCATAAGACTGAGCGCCTCCCCTGTATTCAGGCTGGACAAGGCAATCCAGCATGAGGAATAGGTTTCCACGAGCCAGTCGAAGCACCAGGGACAGCCCAGCTCCCAATACAGGAGTCCCACAAATAGACCAAGCTACACAACTGTCACATACATGCCGAGGGCCTAGGTTAGTCCCACGCAGGCTCCCTGGCTGTTATCACTCAGACTCTCTGAGTTCCCATGAGCCAGGTTTTCCTCTGATGTCCTCAACCTCCCTGACTCCTACAATCCCTTCTCCCTCTCCTCAGCAGGACAACTGAGCTCAGCCCAATGTTTGGCCATGAGTCTCCGAATCCAGTGACTGATGGAGGCAGGTATTTATTAAAAAGAAAAAGCCATTGCTTTGACAGTGTGAACCTGTATCATGGTCACTCTTCTGTCCTAAAGAACATCTGGTATAAAAAGCATCTGATTTTAGGATGTGATCAAATAGTAAAACAAGGTTCATTTCCTAAAACTTCACTCAGACAGCTTCATCAGCTACACTTACTCTTTAAAAACTAACAAAAGTTCAATTCCTCATCCCAAATAGAGTGACTCTAAGGTAGAACAGGATGGAAGACTCAAATGTAGATGTTAAGAGCACAATATCAGTTACAGATAAATAACTACATTTATAAGTAACTGTGCCTAATAATTCTCAATCCAAACACTGTTCCAAACAAACGTTTTCACCTGACTAAACTTAATGATCATTATAGCTAGTCTTCTTAGACCAGTAGTTGAAACTAAGATGAACAACAGCTTTTCACATTTACATGAGACGTGCCAACCATCTTACCAGCATGGTGCTCTGGCAGTAGATGTGAGTGTAGGTTTTCCTATGATTTGCAAGAGGAAATGTAAAATAAATCTTATCAGATTCCTAAGAAAGAGAAAAACAAAAACAATTTAACTATGAGTGAATAATTTCATCATTCAAAAAATCACGGTAACAAGAATAAATTCTATATTATTGCTGTTACTAAGAACCAATCGGCTAGGAATGGAAGGTAAGGGATAAGGAGGGAAAAGATTAAAAACTCAGTAGTGGCAGAACTGTCCTGGAAGCACCAGGGTTACCGCATTCACGTGTGTGAGGATTTACCTTTGTTTACTGTTTTTGTTGTTTTGTTTTGTTATTTGAGATAGGGTTTCATTTCATAGCAATGGCTGGTCCAGGATTTGCCCTGTGGATCACGCTGGCCTTAGACTATCGGCAATCCTCCTGCCTCTGCCTCCCAAGTGGTGGGACTAAAGGTGTGGTCTGCACCACCATGCATGGCTCTGATATTTGAACTTTCAACCACTCTGGCTACTGAAAAGGTCCAAAAATGACAACCTAATAACCATAAGCCAGGTTTATGGTTTGCAGGTAACATTTCCTAAATAAAACAATTCCTTAAGTAAATCACAAATTCAAGCAACCGAGCAGGAGAGGCAAAAACTGAGCTGAAACATTTTGTCACACTGTCGATGAGGTCATAACAGAAACTAGAATTAAGCAGCTGGATTGCAAAGATACAGAGCCAGACTTCAAACGGCTTCAACTTGTCAGGCAAAGAACAACTTTAGGATCAATGACCTGAAGGGATGCAAACACATTTATACACATGAGTAAACAGCAGTCACCCAGGAGGAATACTAACATTTATACACATGAGTAAACAGCAGTCGCCCGGGAGGAACGCTACTGAGCCAACTCCACTCCAACGGCCAGTACATACATGGAAAAATCCAAAAGTCAAGCATTTGTTATTCTTTCCTTTGGGATGTGTCTTACTTTTGACAAATTTAGTAGATAAGGGGAAATTTTTCTGTGCAGTATCCTAATCAATAAATGAAACAGAAATAGAATATCTTCATTTTTGTATCCTCCTACATTAATTAATTCAGACCCTCCCTACCAACTGTTCATATCTTGGGAAGAGAGCCTAGGAAAAGCAAAACAAACAAAAAACAACAACAACAAAAAAACCCTAATAAAAAATTGAATCTATGAGGCATTTAGATCCAATTACTAAATCTTGGGAGGAGCTAGCAAAGGAATCTACTGAACAGCCACAGAAATGCAATCAGCAAAATCAAACCAATATGAGATTCCATCATAAAAACTGACTGATACTTTATCAATAAATTTTAAAGAAAATAAAAGAACAAAAAATATACTGAAGAGGAATATCAGACATATCAAACAATAGTGATGTATGGCCTCATTGGGATCCTTAACTGGATACATTGAGAAACAAAGAAAAAGGGTCCAAGTTTATGCTAAAATAGGGAAGTTGAATAGATTCAATATTTATTATTAAATCATGGGAAAACTATGTGATTTGTTTTTAAAACGTCTTAACTTGTAAAACTAAATAAATAAATAATTTTATTTATTACTTTAGGAGAACAAATTTGGACAAAAATACCCTGATAGAATACTTACATTATAAGCCACATAGGACCATCTGGACACCTTTACTGGAACCCACATAGACGTCCCTTAATGTGAAGGAAATCAATTTATTTGTCTTGTTTCCATATAAAAATTCTTCTCTCTTTTCTGAACTCTGATAAATACTTATTAACAATCACAAACAAGTGGTTGCCTGAGCATCAGCTACTTTAAAAGATCAAACCCAGAAGCACGCTTTTTGTGCTCAACATCAACAGTGTTCCTATCAGGTGAAGAATTATACATCCACTCAGTCTTTAGCTTAATGGAATTCCCAAGAGAGGGAAATGAGTATTACTTCCCCCCAAGCAAAACATTTAAATGAATCCAACAGGATATGCTTACAAGCAAATTTATCAAGCAAATGATATGCTAGTAACTCAAAAGAAGGCTGAGGAATAAACAACACTGAGAAACCAAGATGTAATAAGTAATACAGTATGGTGATATTTTATCTGTGCTCTAACAAATAAAGCTTGCCTGAGGATCAGAGGATAAAACCAGCCACTATATTAAACTTAGAGATCAGGCAGTGGTAGCACACACCTTTAATCTTAGCATTCCCGGAGGCAGAGATTCATCTGGATCTCTGTGAGTTCAAGGCCACACCGAGAACAAAGGCAGGTGTGGTGGCACAAGCCTTTAACCCCAGCACTAGTTAACCATAGAGGTCTGGAGGTCTGTACAGACAGAGAGGAAGTAAAAGAGCTGGGCGGAGAGAGGAAGTAAGATGGCAGGGCACAGAAAGGAATATAAGGCGTGAGTATAAAGGAAGTAGCTCTCTTGGGCTGAGGATTTCCTAGCGGTAAGAACTTGTGGCTGGCTTGTTCTATTCCTCTGATCTTTCAGCTTTCACCCCAATATCTGGCTCTGGGTTTTTTTTTATTAATAAGACTTTTAAAGATTCATGTTACAATACAGCTCTTACTTTTGGTGACTTGACTACCAGGAAAAACAAGGGCATGCAACTCTAAAACCTTTCTATTTATCAAGTTATTTCCAGCACGAACTTTGATCAGTATCTTCCACTTTGCTTTTCTACTTTTCCCTTTCAAACCAAGAACTCATTAGCACGATGATAGGGAAATCGCTAAATAACAGGACTATAGTACTTGAAGTGTCCCAGTTTCCCACTAGTACCAAATACTAACAGCTGTGTACTAACAACACACTCATCCAACACAATAATGCAAAGTTCTTTAAAGGCCACCATCACGAACCTGTTAGGTCAGAAAGTATTGATGGGTTTTCTTCAAACTGTTTAGCTGGGTGTCTTATAAAATGGTGAGTCAACACAGACAACTTCTTCTTAGGTTTTTGAGTTATCTAGAAAGAACATTAATAAAGTCTAGATCATTTACATCATGATAATTTGATAAAGCATTACTTCAAGTATAAAGAGTCAACATTTACTCTCTCTGAGCCAGGCACTATTCTCAAACAATATATTAACTCTAATCCTCATAAAAAAAAACTCTGATAGTATTTATCTACATTTTCATAAAAAAAACTAAGGCACAGAGAAATAAACATTTATCTAAAGTCACACAACTATTAAGATTTGGGGCTATAATGCTCTGTCGTAATGAAAAAGACCTCAAACACTAACGTTTTCTCCAGGAGGAGGAAGAGGAGGAAGCCAGAGTCAAGGCTCTCAAAACCATTCCCATGGAACTGCAAGATGAGTAACCCCAGCGTGTTCTCAACTCACAGAAGAAGCTGAAGCTGATGAGCACAAGGCTCTTAATCACGCTGAAATCATCCTCAGCACAGTTCATTAGCAGTCGTCAAGAAAGCGATGAAAGAGAAGCATGATGTTCTGGACAGGCTAAGGTGGGTGACTCCTGTGCTCTAACTGAACTACTCGGAAACCACGGCTGAGTTGAGATCTCCTTCCGGAAAGGGCTCAACCTGCGACAGTGCCCGGCTGACGCTCCGGTGCCCGGCTGACTCTCCGGTGCCCGGCTGACGCTCCGGTGCCCGGCTGACTCTCCAGTGCCCGGCTGACTCTCCAGTGCCCGGCTGACGCTCCGGTGAGTGTGAGTTATTGGAGGATGACGTACATTTGGACCTTATCCATACGCTAAAGATAACTTGAAAACACGGTTCAAGAGTACCTCATAAGGTAATTATGATGCTCTCATACATTACCAAGAAAAAGTATTAGTCTGTTATAAATATTTCTCGTAAAATAGAAATAAGGGCTGGAGAGATAGGTATCAAACTTCTGACCCGTGCAGAGAAAGACCCGAGGGAAGATCTACAGAACCTTGCTCTTTACTTTCACTGCTACCTGAGTTAATGGTCTATGGATGGCATCAGAAGAACTAAAGATATTTCCATTTCAGAACTAATTCAACGTGACACAAGGTACAGGTTTCTCTTAGTATCCATGTTAAAAAGAATGAAACCTATTAGTGCTAACCAAAGCTTTCACTTTGCTAAAATAAGCTTTTATTTTAAAAGTGCATACTTGTTTGGTGTCGGCATCAATAAGATCAAAGAAGGCTCGAATTGTAGTCAACTGCAACTGTTTACACCTGAAAAACAAAGGAAGTATTACAGATAAACTTTTCTTAAAAATATTTATTTTTTTTTTACAGTTTGAAATTGGTACTAATGTGGCAACATAACAAAAAAATAAAATATATGTTAGAAATTATCATTTTTTTATTTGTTTGAAAATTCCATACCTTGACCATATCTATATCTTGTTTCCTCCTCAGTTATCCCCACAACCCCCACATCATATCTCCATCCCAACTTCATGTCTTCCTCTTAAATTCATTTTTTAACTCACTAAATCCAATCAGTCCCACGCACACATGCATGAGTGTGGGGTAACCATAGGGGAATGGGGACTCTACCAGCCACCATACTCCCAAAGAAAAGTGACTCCCTCCCCCAGAAACTAGCAACGGCCAGTTTTGATTCAAATATACACAATTCTATAAGTTAATGGAGTATATTATATTCCTTTAATGTTGTGCACTAAAAATGTATTCAACAAATCCTTCTTATTAAGCATATATATCAAGGTTAGAACCTATAAAAGCAAAGTAAAGGAAATCTCTCTGGATATCTGACAGCAGAACAGCCCTTCTGCTGCCCAGGTAATGTCCAGCTACAGGCACACATAACGCCTGCCCTACATGCAGCCACCCTACATGCCTGCACTGCATGGACCTTGAAGACTGGCTTGTACAGACAGAAGTAGGACAAAGAATCTGAAAGTCAGAGCACAAGGAGCTGGACCCTGGAGTCTTTGCTTTTCTTGGTCCATGTGTAATCTCTATGTTATGCTTACATTAGGTGCACATCTAATAACTTCTAGTTGGTTTCCACTAGACCCTGGAGTCTTTGCTTTTCTTGGTCCATGTGTAATCTCTATGTTGTGCTTACATTAGGTACACATCTAATAACTTCTAGTTGGTTTCCACTGGACCCTGGAGTCTTTGCTTTTCTTGGTCCATGTGTAATCTCTATGTTCTGCTTACATTAGGTACACATCTAACTTCTAGTTGGTTTCCACTGGACCCCCACAGCAGCCTTCACTGCATCAACTATACCTGAGTGCAGGGGTCGGCTGGGAGCTCGGAAAGTCTTCTCTGGGGCACATCTGACTCTGCCCAGCTACGACAAACCCTAAAATTTAGTATTTGATGCTGGCGTCATTCAGAGTGACTTAACTTGTGCTTCAGAAGGCAATGTTCCAGATTGTCAAGGAAACCATGGTCCAACAAGCAAGAGCCAAGTGTTGAGCTCAAACCCCTATTAATCTTTCACTCTTGGACGTCATTATGGGTCCAATTCTATGAAAGCTAGAAAACCAATTACTGCATTAATGAGAAAGAAGGACTATGACAAATCACCAATGGAAGTTCTAACTTACCATACGATGGAGAGATGGTCTGTTGAGACCCAGGTCTTAGGCACTGCCGAGCTCTAAAAGGAGGGAGAGGAAAAAGAAATAAATCAAGTACATTTACCAATTGTTGGATGTCTCATAAACTAATATTTAGAAACACATGTTAATTTCACTATATTGTATAATTCTTTAATTAAAATGATTCATTTTTATAAAAGATGGTCCTAATATATTATTCCCTGTATAATAATATAACTCCATAAATGTCATTTCTGGTTCTCAAGCTTATATTACCCTTTAAAAATTAACATATCCAAAGAGCCTATGCTGAGGTTTTAACATCTAACATTTTAAAAACACAATTAAAAATTTGAGCTTAACATTCATTTAATAAGAAATCTTATTAAATAAGGGCTCTTTCTTACCTAAAGATTTTTACTTTTACTTTTATATAAATGTAGAAGTTCCAATAGATATTTCAGGATTTTAGCTTTGACTGAACTACTACTTGGTGAGTTCTAAGATGTGACTTTAGAGGCAGGAGCGTGCCTGAGAAATATTTATTAGCATGTATTAACTACACAAAGTAAGGCATTTGATTATGACATTTCCATAGATTCACATAATAATATTGATCATTTTCATGCTCTATAAATCTTATTCCTCTGCACCCCTTTTACTGATAAATGTATAGGCACTTTATATATTTAGGAACTACTGCTGATAAATTACTAAAAAATCTGACAACCAGAGTTCTCTATGGTTCTAAGATTTTATTAGCCTCTGAGCAGAATAATAATAATAATAATAATAATAATAGTTCAACTACTAGTAGGCAGCATTTAACATAATCAAGAAAATAAAGATGCTTTATTTTCTTTGAGTTGATAAAGTACACCACCCCCTCCTCCCTCCAAGGCTCAGAGAACACTATAGAAGGGCAGAGAGAGCACAGAGCCCCATTACAAGGAGCACAGCTGTGAAAAGCCATCTTCCAGGCAGGGCAAGCCACTGCAAGCATGGACTCACATTAGCTGTGGTAACTGACGCTGGGCCTGTACAAGACTAGCCCTGCAACAGTCAGTTATGGATGGAGGAGAAGCTCATGAGGCCCCTCCCCTACTACTTAATCACTGGCTACTGGCAGATTCTGGACAAGGCATTCAATTGTGTGTCTACAGTAAGACCACTGGGCTCCAATGGACAGATCCAAACTCATGGTCACACAGACAGCCCTGGGAAACTCAGTGGGTCACAAACCCAAACAGACAGACATGAATATGGAGTAAATATTTGGAGGGAAGGAGGTTGATAGAGGTGGGAGAGCAATAAGAAGGTAGGAGAGGAATCCGAACACATTATATTCGCTCATGAAACTGTTAAGGAACAAATTTAACAAAAATCAATACACTTTATAAGGGTGGTTGCTCATGGAACCATTACATGTACACTAACATGCATTCATTCTTCTCTACAACAAACAGCACAGCTAAATCCCTTGGCTTCTCTCGCTTTAAGAAGGAACAGTATTTCCTCTAACGGTGTGTGAACAGACGTAATGGGTGCCTTTTCAGCCACTGTGCTCCTCCCCAGGCTGATTCCTCTTTCTCATCAGTTGGACTGGGAAGTACAGTATTCCAAATAGGGTGTCTGGTATCAGCCTAGGTCCCTGAATGAGAAACCACCCACCAACCTACAGAGTAAGAGTTCATTTGTATTTATGATACTATTACCCATAAGGGAATATATGATAGCAATTTCACCTATGCTACAAACACAATTATGGTCTTAACTTCTTACCATTTTTTCTAGTCCCAGTAAATATAAATGTAATTTAACCACTCCTGTGGTAAACACTGAAAAACTGTTACTTATTAATTGACTTTAATAGCATACATATAACTACGTGGGAAAATATAAACTATTTGAGAATTAAAAAACAAAAGTCAAGTTATACAATAGACAACCTTGGGAAAATTCTGTTATAAAATCTTTTCATCAGAGATATAAAAATAGTGACAGCAACCCATTGTCAAATGGATTAGAGAAGACAAGGAAACACAATCATGTGATCGTGTATGCAAGTGGGATCAAGTGAGCAATGCTCCTTAGAAGACCAGCATCAGCATGCAGAATGCTAACACCATGCTGTAGGTCGAGGACGGCGAGTAAGCTATGCCTGATTTCACAGGACTTCATCGTTTGCCTTTACTGGAGAGTGACACTGGGTATTCTGAGGACTTCCAGCAAATATCTGCCTAAGATACTCAACTCAGAAAACAAGATTCACACCACTAATACTGATGTCTGACAGAATTATTAAATTAGTATCACAGCTATTCTGGCTGTATCCTCATTTTTCTAGTTAGAAGAAAATGGTAACGATAGACCTGCATAATAATTTCTCCTCTGCATAAGGCAACGAAGGATTCGGTAAGGAGCTAATTAATGGATAAATAGTAAGGCAACAGCAGTTACACAGAACAACAACTGAGAAGCAGTGACTGTCTACCACCGTCTCACCAAAGCACAGGGGACAGGTGGACCACACTCTGCACAGTCTGTGTGTGCCTTTGAAGTAAAGATCTTAACAGTTGACGTCACGGTTGAGTCTACAAGAAGTTCTAAAGGAAACTTGAGCTCACTTTACAAAGGCTATGGGTCCTAATTAAAGATCAAATACTCAGTGTTCTAGCAGGGAAGGGTAATTAGTAATCAGCAAGTTCATCGGTGTTTATTTGCACTTCAACTATCAAAGAGCATATTTTATTTAGCAATTGGTAAATCTTTACTCAAAGTTAGCGTTCAGGAGGATGGGATGTGTCTGACATTCTATTAGTATTATATACACTCTCACACTCAGATGTGACTCGATCCCCTTGTGTTTAGTCCATACTTTTTTTTAATTTTTAATTTTTTATTTATTTTATTTTTTTCAGAGCTGAGGACCGAACTCAGGGCCTTGTGCTTGCTAGGCAAGAGCTCTACCACTGATCTAAATTCCCAACCCCTTAGTCCATACTTTCTTACAGTTACACCTCTAATTAATGGATAGGTTCTTATTTTGGAGACTATTATTTTCAAGGTTTCTAACATCCTTTTTATTTTCTCTGGCATAAGCATCCATGATTCTGCCTTCTAAACACATTCATCGTCATTCAAATTTTCTCACACATATGCCCATGTATGTGCATGAGCGCGCGCGCGCTGCGCGCGCGCGCGCACACACACACACACACACACACACACACACACACACACACACAGCCCTGCTCCACCAGCTCAGCACTCATTTACAAGCAACAGTATATACTATTTCCCTTTTGGTCCATTTTGTCTACTATATTACTATATAGAATCTTTAAAATAATTACCACAACAGATAAGGCACTGGTATGATGGCTTAATTTTGGTAGAAAAGTCAGTCCTGAACGAACTTGGTAATCCCGGAATCCTCCAGCTACAGAAAGTGTAGTCAAATTTATATGCCGAGCATTTAAAATCCAATAGTTGTTTACAGTCATATAAAACTCTGGAAGGAAATAAAAAAGAAACAATGAAAAATAAGCCATTTCATGCAACCATACTTATAATACTAATATTTATCTGAATTGTTGCCTAAGCTATTTGGTCTATAAATAATGTTATTCACATTTCCCTATTTTGAGAAAAGTCATTTAGCTTTGCATATAAGTCAGAGTACAAAAATCCACATTTGCAATAAGTCAGAGTACAAATACTGAGTACAAATTCTAAAGGTGTCAGTAAAGGAAGAGGCCAAATTGTACCAGCTTTGATCACGTTCACAGCTCTGTACCTCACAAGAACGGTCCTCCACACACCATAACAAAGAAACTTACAAACTTCGCAAAGGAGTTGTAGACATCCATGACGCTAGTGCCATGAAAATGCCCTGTTCAATCCCATCACATTGAGTCCATTAAATATGTCCATTTTTGTATGTGCATTACCCCCAATAAACTAGTCTTCAAAAAAAAAAAAAAAAAAAAGACATATACTTCTCCCTGTCACAGAAGAGTCCCAGTTTTTGAAGGCTTAGGAACCCTGCCTTGGACAACCATTACCACACATTACTACATAAGTTCCTACAGTACAATCTATCAGGACAGGGCCATACTAATTTTAGGATTACACGTCTGAAGAAAATCTCAGGCTTAGGATTCTACCCATTAAATCTGGCAGCAAATTTAAAGTGATGACTTTCCAGGCAAGTTTTCACTTCATCTATTAAAACTAATACAATTGTAATGTTGATTACGAAACTGAGACAGGACGAAGGAGATCTCATTTTTCTCGGCATCAAAACTGAATGCATTGCCACACTCCATCAGATCCCGGTCATGCCTTCCAATATTCACTATGCAAAGTTCTCCTCATTAAAGATCTCAACAGTATGTACCTGAGACGTCACCAAGTCTACCAAGATCTGACATCTAGAAGACCTGGGACAAATATCAACAAAACTAAATATTAAAATCTAAAACAGTTATGAAACTACTAAATAAAATATTTTCTATTCTTTCCTTGACTAACCATTGAGATGACTTTGTAGAGTCAAAATTAAGGATTCTCAGGGTCTTCAAAGTTAGCACTAGATTATGAGACAGAGAAGAGCAGATCACTGGGTCTCCTTCTTTGTCTTCCCAATCTAATTCTATCAGACATCTCAAGATCCTTTTGTGAATGGCCAAGCTCCACTGCAGAGCCACACCTTTGCCACAGTTCAATATGAGTGTTTGTGCACTGCTGTGGAATACTGCTTTTGTACACTGGTTTAATAAAATGCTGATTGGCCAGTAGCCAGGTAGGAAGTATAGGTGGGATAAGCAGACAAGGAGAATTCTGGGAAGAGGAAGGCTGAGTGAGGAGACGCCAGCCCGCCATCCAGGGAACAGCATGTAATGGCACACAGGTAAAGAAACATGGTGAAATACAGATGAACAGAAGTGGGCTGAGTTTAAGTGTAAGAGCTAGTCAGTCGTAAGCCTGAGCTAATGGCCAAGCAGTTTTAATTAATATAAGCCTCTGTGTGTTTATTTGGGGGGCGCAAGGGGGAGAGATTTGTCCCGACGGCCAGTTGGCTGGGACACAGGAAAACTTAGCAACAGTGTGCCTGCTCCTACAATAAAGACACGGAAGAGGCCCACACCGGCCCTGGAAAGAGCTTCTTGGGGCACATGAGCTGGACATGGTGTTGCAAACCTGTAATCCTAGCAATAAGGAAACAGGAGGATCAGGACAGGAAGTGGGCTGCATGAACACTCTCCAAAAAGAAAACAAATGGGCAATCTGGAGGTTTAGTTTTCTGAATCATGAGCTGAGAATAAGAACATGAACCACAAGGAGAAAGGCTGCTTAGTGCATGCATGCCTCTTACCCTGTGAGGAAGAGTATGGTCAGAGATGACCCTCTAAGGGCCGGCCCAGTGCAGGAACACTTTCCTTACTTAAAGGTAGGATTTCCACCAAGTATAAACAGGATATCTGCTTCTGAAAGTCATGTGTATCTCTCAAAAACTTGAAATCCATGACTACTTAAGTATTTTTTTTTTCATTCTAATTCTGACTTAATGAAATAAGAATTCAGAAAGTAGAAAGAGACCGAGCTCCCTGAAACTCAGGAAAAGCGTTCTACACTTAGGAATCACTTCGGAGGGGCAGTTTCAGAGGTGATCACTGTGTCCCTTAGAACAATTCAACCTGACAGTGCTGAAAATTCATTCTTCGGGAGATGAGAATGTAGCTCAAGGGTGTGCTTTATTAAGCAAGTACAAGGGTCTATTTTGAAATCAAGATCCTGCTGCTGGGAGGGAGAAAATACTGGGAGAAACGACTGGAATTGGGGGGCACTTCAGGGGCAAGGTGGAAACCTAGTGCAATGGAAACCCCGTGGAATCTACGAGAGTGACCCTAGCAAAGACTCCTAGTAATGAGGTTCACAGTGCCTGAACCTGCCATCTTCTGTAACCAGGCAAGGCCTCAAGTGGAGGGACTGGGACACCAGCCCAGTCACAAAACCTTTGACCTAGTTTGTCCTGCCTGCAGAGTGTTCTGGGACCAGACCCTAGCAGAATCCTCATCAAAGAGACCAGAGAGACTTCATCCAGCAACTGATGGGAACAGATGCAAGTCCCACAGCCAAACAGTAGGCAGATCTTGGGGAGCCCTGCAGAGGAGGAAGGACCAGAGAAACCAGAGAGGTCAGGGACATCACAAGAACACGGTCCACAGAATCTACTGACAGGGACTCATGGGGGCTTTCAGAGATTAAGGAGCCTGTGGGGGTCTGACCTAGGTCCTCTGCATACACATTTTGGTTGTGTAGCTTGGTGTTCTGTGAGACTCCTAACAGAGGGAGCAGGGGGCTGTCTCTGGCTCTTTTGTCTACGTATGGGACACTTTTCCTCCTGCTGGGTTGCCTCGTCCAGCCTTGATGTGAGGGTACGTGCCTGGTCTTACTGCAGCTTGTTATTGCAGCCGTGTTTGGTTGATGTCCCTGGGAGGCCTGCTCTTTTCTGAGGGAAGACGGAGGGGGTGTGGATCTGGGGGGGAGAGGGGAGGTGGGTCCTGGGGAGAGGGGAGGTGGGACGGAGAAACTGGGGAGAGAGGAGGGAGGGGAAACTGCAGTGGGGATGTAAAACGTGAGAGAAGAACTGAAAATAAATAAATAAGATCCTACAGCCGAAGAGTCCACATGACCGAGTCACAGAACACGGTAAACTCAAAGCTGATAGAGCCCTGGACGCCGTGTCCCTCCTGCCTATCTCTGTATCTATCTCTAATAGTGCTAAAAGATGCTACGCAAACTACCGGAGGAGAAAAGTGATTATGAGCCATACCCAGCTATGAACCCTGAAAGCTGTAATAATGACTGGCCTGGAAAGACACCCCCACTGGTGTAATAATGGCAGGAGCATCATGGGAGTAACCAGTAACTTTCTGATTAGATTTAAGTCCTTCTCCACAAGGTGAAACCCATACCTTACACCATTATTAAGCTAGACCCCTATAGCTAGCTAGGTCATGGTCCCTAAGAGAGAGCCTGTTATTATGCTGCTAAATAGACACAGTATCAAACTGACTCCTGGTGACTTATTATTATACCCATAGATCCATGCACCTCTCATCCCTCACCTCGAGAAGCTTCTATCTGCAGTAGATGCCAGTTAATCCAGTAATCCATAACTGGCCAGGGTAAAGAGAATAACAAACTACAGAATGCTCAGCCCAAGGGAGAAGATACACACTGCACCTTGCTTCTTCCCAAGGCTCAGGAATCACGGCATAGGAGGGGAGGGATGAGTGTAACAGCCGGAGGCAGAGGATAACTACAAGAAAACCTTTTCTTCTGGACACAGCGGGCAGCTATGCTTATGAACTTGCAGTGGGTTTCAACAGCAGATTATAAGAGCAATACAAAGTCCAAGCCAGAGTAGAATCCCAGCAAGGAGAGAGGAGTTGGCACACAGCCCCACCCCAAGCCATGGAGCTACTAGTAATTATTAGCTGCTGGGAGAAGAAAAGATTTTCTATAAAACTGTAACCTCTGGTAAACTGACCACTCCCCAGTGCAAGACTATACATCCAAGAATATTTGGGCAGCACAAATTGCTCTGGATTCAAAAAATAAGAAAGACAAAATGTTGGGTAGGGAGTGGGGGGCGGAGAGATAATCAGAGAAGAGTTGGAGGAGAAGGGTGAATATGATCAAAACATGTTGTATGAAACTCTCAAAGAACTAAAAAAAAAAAAATTAAATTAATTAAAAACAGAAGAATAGCCAGGCAGTGGTGGCGTACACCTTTAATCCCAGCACTCGGGAGACAGAGGCAGGAAGATCTCTAAATTCAAAGCCAGCCTGGTCTACAGAGTGAGTTGCAGACAACCAGGATTGTTACACAGAGAAACCCTGTCTCAGAAGACAAAACAAAACAACGAAAAGAATTTTTAAAAAGAGGCTCAATCTTGAAAGATTATTTTTCAGTGCATCTGGAATCGTTTTAACTCAACTACGTGGCTCATCTACATGTACCGTGCAAACCGCAACAGAAAGGGTGGCAGCAAACATGATCTTCAGTTCTTGATTCTTTCCCTGAACATCTACTCATTGAAGACTATTAGAAGCAGCACAAAAGATTTAAACAATTTCAATCACAAAGTCTCTCAATTTTATTACTGTGAGATTCTGATCTGGCAAGTTTCAAATCCATAACTCTTAAAAGACAAGAGTCATTCCCAAGAATAACATAGTTGAAGTTCTGATACCTACGGATCATCAAACACATATCACCTGGCTGGGAAAAGAAAACCAACGGTATTTTCAATGATAAGCCAGGACTGAAAGCGACTGGGGACACAGAGAATGGGAGTGCAGATCTCACCTGGAGTGTCTGACACATAGATAAAACTCTAACGGAAATAGCTAGAGACGAGCTCCCGGCAAGAGGTGGTCAGTGTGAATGCACCAGTACTCACCGGTAATGAAACGATCTAACGGCATCACAGGGGCCACATGAGGGGTGGCTTGTGTGACCAGAAGATTTATCAGATCTTGTTTGAAGTTTTTCAGTGTAAGCAATGCTCTGGCGACAAGGCCACCCATAGAATGACCAATCAGTGCCACACTTGTGGGGGCAAATTCTTGACCCTATTTTTAAAAAAAGAAAGAAAAGTGAGACCACCTCAAAAGCAAACAAAAACGATTGTGTCGGCTGCCTACTGTGCGTAATGGAGCGGCCCCAGAAGGCCAGGGTCTGCTATCCTTAGGATGAGCTAAAGGAAAGGCTGCTGTAGAGTGCAGCCTGGGACCTTCTAGTCTGGGAAGAGTCTTGCCACTCTTTAGATAGTTCACAGTGCCCACAATGCCAACAATACGGTTCATGGGGCACACCTGCTATCCTCCAGCCTAGAATTCTGGATTATGGTAAGTGGATGGATTCAGTATCAGCTCCCAATAAAAACCTGGGACACTGAGTCTCTCATGAGCACCCCTTTAGGCAATGCTTCTCACACCACAAATTGTTGATAGGCAATGAAGTACGAATGTGTTCCCCGCCCCCTGAGAGCTGCTGGACGCTTTCCTCTCTACTCAGTTTGCTCTGTGTCCTTTCACTGTGTGACAGTCGTAAGTATAAGATGAGTCCTATGAATCCCACTAACAAGCCAGCCAGCCTGGGGATGGTCCTGGGATCCCAGACAGAGCTGATGGTGGTAAGGGCCAACCTCTGCAGCCGACCTCCTGGTCTCTGAGCCACAGGTGCTTGCTTTGAGTCTTTGGTTGCTGTACTCCTTCATTTTCCTCACCTGTGCCCCTCCCTCCCCCCCCCTCTCTCTCTCACACACACACACACACACACACACACACACACACAGAGATTGGCCACACTGGTAATCTCCTCTACTCCCCTGGCTGTAAACACATCTACTTACAGTTAACTACCAACTAATCTCAACTGGATCTCTTCCTGGAGCCCTGGCCTTGAACGCCTGTTGCGTAATTGCTACACGGGGAGTACCTCGTGGACCTCACACTCAACCTGTCTTAAAGTAGACTTTATCGCCTCCAAGCCTTTTCTTCCTAGTCCTACCAAAGGCAATTCAGTCCCTTCGGTTATTCAAGCAAAACTCTTGGAGTCGCCCTTAACCCTTCTTTTCCTTCACACTGAACTTCAACCCGCCATCTGCCAGCAAAGCCTGCTGCCTCCGCCTCTAATACTAGCGCCAATCTGTCCATTCCTCAGCACTTCGGTTGCTACCAACCTAACTGAGAGCACTACTAGCTCTTGTCTGAGAGACTGCAACAGGCTCCCACCTAGTCTCCCTGCCTCCACCCTTACGCCCCTCCACCTTATATCCTAAAATAACCACAATGAGGCTATTAAAATTTAAGTAAGAAATGTGTCACTTCTCGCCCAGTGGTTTTCCATACCACCCTACCTAAAAGGGGGGAAAATTAAAATTGTCCATATGTCTCTTCAATCTACCTGACCCATCCCAGCCGCTTTTTGGTTTTCTACATTGCTGTATTTACCTAGACTCTTACGATGAATGAGGTTTTCCTCCACCCAGAACGTTCTTTTCCATAACTCTATCTTACCCGCTCAATGAGACTCAACTGTCCTTCAGCTCTTACTGTCCTTGCTCATAACAGAAATCTCTGTCAGTATCTCATCTTCAAAATATTTATTAGTTGTGTTATAAGTTTAATGTGTTCATTAGAAAAATCCAAAACAAAAATAGAAAGAATAATAAACTGCCTACCATGTAACATTAAAGTTTGTTTACTGTGGTTGGCATTTCTTTATCTTATCTGATAAATAATTTTATCAGTTATTACCTGTACCTAAAGAGGATCGTTTTCTCTCTCATAAGACTCATGATTCCTCAGGAAAAGAAAGCTAATTTCTCGTATTGGTGGCGCACGCCTTTAATGCCAGCACTCGAAAGGCAGAGGCAGGCGGATCTCTCCGAGTTCGAAACCAGCCTGGTCTACAAAAGTGAGTTCTGGGACAGTCAGGACTGTTACACAGAGAAACTCCGTCTTGGGAAAAAAAAAGTTACTTTCTATTCTTCCTACACTGAGATCATGTTCCTTTTCCTATACATTAAGCCACAGACAGGTGCTGGTGTGGTCAAATGGCTTCCTACAGCTGCAAAGACCATCCTACGGTGAATTAAACTGACTTATATTTAGATATTAAACTCGTTTAGTATTTTTGCAATAAATTACATTTGGTCATGACATATCACACTTTTCCCAGATTGTCGAATTTTGTAGTCTGGATTTTGATTGAAAATTACGTATGTATGATCATGAGGAATATCTCTAGTTTCTTTTCAATGTCTGTTGTGTTCTCTAAAATGGAATTATGTAATCTTTTTTTTAAGTCCTTGTCTAGTTTACTGTCAGAGCTATGCTGAACTAAAAACTGAGTCTGCTTCCTTCTCTATTCTTCTGAAAGCTGTTGTTGTAAAAATCAGTATTTGTTATTTCTTAAATGAGGACTAGAATTTACTAAAATTTTTCTTAAATGAGGACTAGAATTTACTAAAATTTTTCTTAAATGAGAACTAGAATTGTTCTTTATGGTAAGATTTTCAATTACAAACTCAAAAAAAAAATCTGACAGATAACAGATACAAGGCTATCCAGATTTTCTGTTTCTTCTTATGTCAGTTTTATAATTATGTTTCAAGGAATTTATATGTTTCAGTTATTAAATTTACAGGTATGAAAGTGTGCATAACATTCCTTCATCACCCTCTTCACATGTGTAGAGGGTAGGCTCTGTAGAAAAATACCATCATTAGTTCCTGATATTGATACTTTGTTCTCTCATTTTTCAAATCAGTCTAGCCATAATTTACCAAGTCATTGATCTTTTTGAAGAATCAACCACTGGCAGAAGTTAGTTTTTCTGTTGTTTTATATTTCTTTAATTTCTGCTTTCACCATGATTCCTTATTCTCCATGCTTTGTTAACTTTCTTTTCTCTCCGGCTTATAAAGGCTGTAAGCTTAAGCCACTGACTTGAAATCTTATTCTTTTCTAATATAAGCAATTAAAAACAGTATTTCTTTTAATCATTACCTAATCTTATAAGCTATTATTTAACAATTTTGTGCATGTATAAAATGTTATAAATTCTGATTTGTGTTTTCATTTTAATTCAGTTCAAAGTATCTTCAAATTTCACTTTTTCAAAACTTTGGGTAATCTGTAAGTAACAGAAGATTTTTTTAATATATTTTCACTTTTAATTTTGCTATTTTCAGAAAATATATTGCATGGTGTTAATACTTTGAAGATTATTAATATCTGTGAACCAGCATATGGCCTGGCATAGAAGACAGTTTAGTAAATGGTCATTGTGTACTAGAAGAGGAATATGTTTCTATAGTTGCTGAGTATAGTATTCTTTTTTTTTTGGTTTTTCAAGACAGGATTTCTCTGTGTAGCTTTGCGCCTTTCCTGGATCTCGCTCTGTAGACCAGGCTGGCCTCGAACTCACAAAGATCCGCCTGCCTCTGCCTCCCAAGTGCTGAGATTAAAGGCGTGCGCCACCACTGCCCGGCTATAGTATTCTTTTATTACTAACAAGCATCATATAACAAAAGCTGGTGAATAGTGCTCAAATCCATAGTTTTACTGACTTCTTTATTAATAATTGGGAAGACAGTACTGAAATCACTAGACTTAATTGTTCTAGCAATGCTAATTTCTTCCCTTGCCTCTACTGGATTTTGCTTTGTGAATTTGGAAGAATTAGATGCATACAAATGATTGTTTTGTTTTCTTGATGAATTGATCCTTTTATCACCATGAAATGTCTTTCTTTTAGGGGCAGAGGCTTAGGATGAAATTCAAAGTCTTTAAAAACGTCCACCTTCATCCCTGATAAAACGCCTTCCTCTAAAATCTATTGAAAAGACAGCAATTTCATCATTCTAGTTTTTGATCTGTTGTTGTTTGGCACGTGTGTACACGTGAGTATGAGGAACCCCATGGGGAGAGGGGCCGTTTCTGTCCTTCAAACACGTGGGCTCCAGGGACTGAACGGAGGTCGTCACGCTGGGCAGCAGGTGCCTCAACCATGAGTCATCTCACTGGCCCTCCACCTTATCTTCTGAGACAGGATCTCTCCATGAACCAGGAAACTGCAAATTCAACTTAGATCTTTAAACTAGCATTAAAGATACAACTTTAAAAAAAAGAGCCCATTTTTGTATTTTCAACTTCAGTATAAACAAATATATTATTTAAAATCAAATTTGTTCCAAAAAAAAAAAAAAGACACTGCTGACGGGTTACCCTACTGACTTGCACGTTCACCTCCTACCTTGTAGAGCTTGAGAATGGCTTTAATGCATTCATGAACAAACTTGGTCTGCTTCTGAAGACTCCCACCGTACAATGCCACCAGCTCCTCATTGAAGTTCACGCTGAAGAAGTCGAAGTGGTACTTGAAGTCAATGTCTTCTGCTTTCCTAAGTGCAATCGAGCCAATGGAACGAACTGCAGAGGAGAGAGGAAGGAGCTCGCTCACAGAACAGTACAGAAGTTTGTCCAACTTTTGTTTCAAAGGGTTTTGCTTTGATTTGCTTCGATTTTTTTCGAGACTGGGTTTCCCTGGGTAGCCCTCGCTGTCCTGGAACTGGTCTCGAACTCAGAGATCCAGTCTCTGCCTCTGGAGTGCTGGGATCAAAGGCATGTGCCACCACCACCAAGCTGTTTAGAAGTTTTTAATAAATAACCCTATCATGAATATAAACAACGTACTTCAGTGTGATGCACATTCACAGCATCAATTTAGCAGTTCAGCTGGTCAAGTGTTTGCATTTCAAATATGAAGACCCTGATCTCAGATCTCGGTATCCATGTGGAAGCCAAGCACACAGGGGCACACACTGCCAAGCACTGGGGAGGCAGAGGCAGAAGGATCCTTGAAGTTTGCTGGCCGAATGTCTAGGTAAATCTGGAAGCTACAGGATCAGTGAGAACAGAAAGAAAAAGGCAGCAAAGCTGGAGAGCGATAAAAGAACATAGCCAGTGGTGACCTTTGGTCTCCACCTACACACGTCCATACACACCATCTCTAATCTCTGTCTGTCTCTGTCACACACTGTCTCACACAAACACACACACACCCCAATTAAAAGAACAGACTAATCTCGCAGCTATACGCCTTGTTTTTCCTAGGCGTGTTTTAAGGTAAACAAACAAAAAAAGTGAACAGGTCACTCAGTCTTGACTTGCGTCCCTCTGTCTGGGAAGATTGAGAGCCAGCAGGGGAAGGAACGTGAAGTAGAAATTTTGTCACATTTATGGAGGATTTTAAGTAAAAAGATTCCTGTAAGACATGTGTGTTCACCACCCATGCATGCTTTTTCTTTCTCTTACGCATGACATCTAACCCATGAGTTTACTCTGCCATGGTCTATCCTCCAAACACATGCCTAGGTAAGGTCTCAGCATCCCATCACTGCCTTCCTGACCGAAGCACCACTGCTTGCCTGAGCTCCCCGCTTCCCGTTTTATCTTCCTTCTGCCTGCCCTCCTTTCGTCTTACTGCCCATCTTATAAATCCTCTAACAAACTTTAGTATGAAGTGATTACATTAAGTGACGTAAAACTGTAGCGTATGCTTTAGCAGAAAAGAAAAATAAACACTAGTTTGCCATTCCAAATCTAGTATTTCAAACACCTCAAAAAACGGAATCCTTTGTCCATGGGTGGTCACCCTCCAATTCTCCTTCTCTTCCTACTCCCTAATGAGCGCTGGCTTACTTTCTGTCTATGAATTTGCCTATCATGTATATTTATTTCATATACACGATATAATCCTGTGATGTGGATTTGTGTGAGTGCCTCTGTCACTTCTTAGGATGTTTGAGAGATCCAGCCATGTTGCAGCATCTCCCCACCTCCCCATCAGCAGTGTGTGAGGATTCCAGTGTCCCCACATCGTTGCCAGCATGTGCTGCTGTCTGTCTTTTTTATCATAGCTATCTCCAGGCATCACTGTAGGGAATGGCATCTCAGGCTGATTTGCCTTTCTCTGATGACCAACGATGTTCAGCATCTTTTCTGCTTCCACTCTTGCCCTATAATAGCATGTTCTCTTCAAAGCAGAGCCAAAGTGGGTGGTCCCTTTCAAAAAGTAATCCATATTTATTAGATTTGCTAAAATTTTAATTCCACAATTTCAATGTTGTCAAAGAGGTAGCACAAAGGGAAGTATCATATGCTAATTATAAGAATATAAATCAGTGGAATAAGTAAAGATAAGAGGATATGGACAAGCTGTGATGGGAAATCAATACTCCTAGGATACAAGTACAGAAACTTATGTGTTCTAAGATGTGTGTAGAAGGATACTGATTGTTTATAACTGCCAATAAAGGTAAACATTCAATTTACTTTTTATACAAAATTTATACAAATTACCTTTTATAAAAAGTATGCAAAAGAACACTATAGTGTTAAATAAATGGACAGTTTACAGTTCATACAGTAACTTCAGAGACTTTTACAGACAAAACAGAGTGGAAAAAATCAGGCACAAAAGAATATATACTGGATGATTATACATTATAAAGTTAAAAATGCCCACAAATCAATAGAATATACTAGGGATCCACACCTAGGCATTAAGACTATAAAGAAAATTTATGAAAATTACTACCTTGGAGTTAGAATTGTAGAAATATATGTGAGTGTAAGGGGAGAAAGCTTTAATCATGAAGGGACATGTAGAATTTCCAGGATGCTGGCAATTTTCTGCTTCTTCAATGAAGTTTTAGTTCTCTATAAGTTCACTTTGTAATAACTGTAAATGTATGTATGTATCATTTCAAACATGATAGTTAGCAAAAATAATCAGATTATATAATTGCTTACCCAAAGCATCCATGTTTCACATCCTTCTCAAAAAAATATTCAGGCTTTCCCAGATCCTATGCATAGGCCACAGCTTTCCATTCTCACTTTGTTTTCTCTAGCCAGAGTGGTCCTTGGAGCACCGAACATATATTCTTGCATCAGGGACTTCCCCAGACAATAATGTTCACGCTCTCCTCCAATACCATCTCCTCGCCATGGTGTTTCCTGACCACCTCATCTAAACAGGTCTTTTTCCTACTACTTACCGTCTGCCTCCTCAGTGGTTTATGTATTTATTTCTTGTAGCTTTTAATATCACTGAAACATCCACTGATGGCTGTCTTCCCAAGAAGAATATGTGCTTGATGAGTGAGGGACTTGCTGTCTTGTTCTACTCTGGATCATTAATACCTAGAGTACTCCCTGGCTCGTGACAAATACTCCACAAGTATTTTGTAGATGAAAATACACCACATAAGTAATCGCCAAACACGTTGAAACAATTGTGGGTTCATTATTTAACAATTCCTGGAATGTTTACAAGAACCAAAGCAGATGTTGTTTGTAAACAAAATGACTTACCGATTGGGGTGCCTGGCTGTTGTGCCAGAGACTCCTGACATGCTCCAGGCCAGCACTGAATTTGGAACCTGAACATATCGCTTCTGTTCTCCCCACTGTTCTGTAACCCCTCCATACTGCTCCAAGTCTCCACAAGGAAGGAGACTGGTCTCACATTTATAGGGAGATGAATGCTTCAGGTTCCTGTCTGTGTAACTTCATTTCCAACATAAACCCTTCTGCTATCCCTGAACACCTGCATAATCTAGTCACCCAACCTGTGCCCTCTGACTCTTCTCATTTTTTGCAAAGTACTCTCCAACTCTTCTTTCCCATTTATGTTTGATGTGTGCTGTCTCTCGAAGGAAGCGGCATACCATGGCTCTCTCAGGAGGTAGGACACAGTACTTAGCAGGGTAAGCTTTTTATTTTATCCCATGTGACTCACGCAGGACGCACATAATCCCAAGTCTGGAACTGAATTTCGCAGCTTTAACTTTTTCCTTCTACTACCTACCTTGCTTGTAACTTCCTGCATTGCCAGGAAGGAAGAGAACAGGAATTCCTGTCAAAGGGAGAATTTTGTGCTCTTCAGCGTATGACCCTTCTCCATAAAGATATAGCTCATAGGCTGGATAGCGTTTTGTCAATTTCTTTGGAAGTTCTATTTTCTATAGAAAGAAAATAAATAAATAAATCCATTTTAATCACTCATTAATGCAACTCATATTCAATGTAAAGGTAAATTAAAGAACTCTGAAATGGTGCGATATAAAAATATTACCAATGATATAAACCACACTCGATGCACAAAACAAGTTCTATCATTTTTTCAAACGGGATTATTCTTTTTTTCATTATTATTATGTATACAATGTTCTGCCTGCGTGTATACCTGCAGGTCAGAAGAGGGCACCAGATCTCATTATAGATGGTTGTGAGCCACCATGTGGTTGCTGGGAATTCAACTCAGGACCTCAGAAAGAACAGCCAGTGCTCTTAACCTCTGAGCCATCTCTCCAGCCCCCAAACGGGATTATTCTTAAATTATGTGGCTCTTGAATGGTGTAACCTTCATAAAAGCATAAAACACATATAGTAGGAATTCTAACAAATGCCAACTGGTCAAAATAATGCCTGACAACGGCTACATGTCACTGGTGTACGTCAGGAAGTTTCACGTAAATATAGTTGGAAATGCATTTAATTTAGAATCAGTTATCAATTATACTTAAAATGACGATAAAAGCTTTCCATGATCAAATCAATTCTTTTCGCCATTTTAAACTACTTTCTAAAGTAGGCCCCCTAAATACTCTAGCTGTTGTGTGTGCACACATGTTCATTCACATGTGTGTGTTTATGATGTGTGCACACACATGTGTGAGTGTGGAAGCCAGAGGTCAACACGGGGTATCTTCTCAACTATTCTCCACGTTGTCTGTTTATTTTGAGACAAGATCTCTCCTGAACCTGGAGATCACAGACTCAGCTAGACTGCCTGGCTCCTCTGCCTCCCCAGCGCCGGGATTACAAGCACAGACTGCCATGCCCAGTGACGGACCTGTGTGCTGGGGATCAACTCCAGCCTGCCTCACGACTGCAGGCAAACCCTTCCTTCATCTACTAAGCCACCTCCACAGCCCCAGTAAGTCTGTGTGACAGTGAAACTGTCTGACCCCTCAGTGTTTTAACTGTGACGGTGTAACAAAATAATCTGACCCTTACAGCCAAGGCTTGATCAAGATATGCACGTTCTTCTCACCACAAACACTCCATTGAATTAATAGCATCTGTTTCAAATCGTGGACCAGGTACATGAATTGTTAGCAAGCCTAAGCTACTTTGCAAATCCTAATGTGTTGAATACAGAATTCTTTTCAACACAACATAACCAGGCCTTAATGTCCTCCTCAAAGGGTAGGCGTCTATCAAAGATGTAACTTCTGCGCCCACCTGCTCTGAGGCAGGTGTGAACTCTTCTGACCCCATCCCCCTGTGAGGCAGGTGTGAACTCTTCTGCCCCTACCCCCCTGTGAGGCAGGTGTGAACTCTTCTGCCCCCACCTCCCCTGTGAGGCAGGTGTGAACTCTTCTGCCCCCATCCCCTGTGAGGCAGGTGTGAACTCTTCTGCTCCCACCCCCCTGTGAGGCAGGTGTGAACTCTTCTGCCCCCACTCCCCTCTGAGGCAGGTGTGAACTCTTCTGCCCCCATCCCCCTGTGAGGCAGGTGTGAACTCTTCTGCCCCCATCCCCCTGTGAGGCAGGTGTGAACTCTTCTGCCCCCACCTCCCCCTGTGAGGCAGGTGTGAACTCTTCTGCCCCCACCTCCCCCTGAAGCAGGTGTGAACTCTTCTGCCCCCACCTCCCCTGTGAGGCAGGTGTGAACTCTTCTGCCCCCATCCCCCTGTGAGGCAGGTGTGAACTCTTCTGCCCCCACCTCCCCCTGAGGCAGGTGTGAACTCTTCTGCCCCCACCTCCCCGTGAGGCAGGTGTGAACTCTTCTGCTCCCATCCCCCTCTGAGGCAGGTGTGAACTCTTCTGCCCCCATCCCCCTGTGAGGCAGGTGTGAACTCTTCTGCCCCCATCCCCCTGTGAGGCAGGTGTGAACTCTTCTGCTCCCACCCCCCTGTGAGGCAGGTGTGAACTCTTCTGCTCCCACCCCCCCAGAGGCAGGTGTGAACTCTTCTGCTCCCACCCCCCTGTGAGGCAGGTTCTCACTGTGTAGGCTCAGCTGGTCTTGACTCCTCACCTTCCTACCCCTGTCTCCCAAGTATTGGGAATTACAGAGTACATCACCATACCTGATATTTCCTTTCTTTCTCTTTTTAATAATAGAATTAATTAAAAACAAACCATTATACTGAATCATAGGTTTAAACAGATATCAATACATTAATAATCTAGCAATTGTAAACATATATACACTTGATGAAAAAAATTTACCATCTGAATTTCAGAAACTGTAAATGTTGTTAATACTGCTGAATAAAAAAGAATTCTAAAGAATTCTAATCATTGGTGTTGACTCCAGAATATTTCCTTGAGTATATTACCATAATCTGGGCCAACTACACCACAGAGGCACCTACAGGACTACTATGTGCTTATTATTTAACACACTAGCACTTTCATTATCTTCTCAATACACCAAATACAGAAATGCCAACTCTACCACGTGCTTTATAAGCACACTGGTCCTTCAAGTCAAACTAGTTCCAATAATGATTATGCAGAATGCAAGCAAAAATGAAATGACGCAATATTTTTATTTATTGGGATACAAATCAAGCAAAAAGAAAACATAACAGAATAAAGAAATGATTCCTTAACTGCTCCCAAATAAGAACACAATTTGATGCAATGGCACACGCATAATAGATCATTACTTTTTAGATTAGTAGACAAAGTTTGAGTTAAGTTGAATATTAATTCAGAAAACAAGAAACTATCAAATATATCTAAAAAGAAATAATTCTCTGAGACAAAAAAGGCAGAACAATATGTTTGGCATATTTCATAACATACTATCGTATGGGTAGTTTTGTTATAAAAATATTAATTGCATGAAAAAATTAACACTATATACATATTTAAAAATATACAGGTGGGGGAAAGGTAGGGGAGATGGAGCGTGGAGAATGGGGAGGGGAAAGAAAGGAAAATATGAATGGTGAGAAATGCAGGCAAATGGCAAAACTACATCTTCAGGCAGAGTACAAGTCATAGCGAGCGTCAGGAAGACAAAAGGAAAGGCTACTGAAGAGACTTAAGATGTGTGAGCACACGGAAGGGATGCTGAGGAGAAAAAAGAGCATGAAGAGGCACAGCAAAATGGCTTAATATAAGTTATGTATATGGATAATTTAAAATAAGCAGACTCTCACACATGATAGACCTTTAATGAAGACCAGTGACCTTTACACTAAATATTGCCTCCGTGGTGCTGACCCTGTTGGCTGTGTTGTCCGACTGCACCTCAGTACAGGCTGTTCTCATTACCAACTTACACCCCTTCCAAGAGACAAGTGTTCTAACAACCCCTCAACTGCTACGGAATGCTGACTTAAAGCAAAGATTCGCCGGGCGGTGTTGATGCACGCCTTTAATCCCAGCACTCGGGAGGCAGAGGCAGGCGGATCTCTGTGAGTTCGAGGCCAGCCTGGGCTACAGAGTGAGATCCAGGAAAGGTTCAAAGCTACACAGAGAAACTCTGTCTCGAAAAACCAAAAAAAAAAGAAAGCAAGCAAGCAAAGGTTCGTGTGTGTGTGTGTGTGTGTGTGTGTGTGTGTGTGTGTGTGTGTCTATCTTTCACTTGTAAATGAGAATTATAAAAGTTTGGTAACCATGAGTTAACCAAAAAGAAAAAAAGTCAAAATAAATGCAGACATTATAAGAGCTTCTTACTAGCAGCTCTCAGTCCTTGACTGGGGCTACTCCTAAAGGGAGTTCTAGGGTCTCCTGCTTGATGAAAACTGAGAGGAAAACACTTACACATAATATAACCTGTCAGACAGGCCTTTCTTCTTGTCCTAATCTCTCTGCTACAATCCAGTCCATGCTGCTACCAAAATGTCTTGATAAAACACATACCTCATGTGTTTCCATACTGGACACATGAATAATTGAGACTTTAGAGAGGGGAGCTTTTAAAATTTGATCCCAATATCTACCTCATTCTCATAACTTACACATGACATGTTTTAAAATTTGTGTTTAAGCCGGGCGGTGGTGCACCCCTTTAATCCCAGCACTCGGGAGGCAGAGGCAGGCGGATCTCTGTGAGTTCGAGACCAGCCTGGGCTACAGAGTGAGATCCAGGAAAGGTGCAAAGCTACACAGAGAAACCTGTCTTGAAACCCCCCCCCCAAAAAAAATTGTGTTTAATATACTTTAATATTTTCAACTTCCAAAGGTTAGGCATTGAACGCCTCTGACCCATGATCCTTCGCTATCCAGTTCCCCCATGCCAGATGACAGCTAATGTTAGTCAACTTATGTGTGCTGTCAAATATTTTGGATATATACAGGCAAATATGTTTATAGATTATTTTCTCCCTTTTATATCAATAGTAAAATATTATAAATGCTGATCAGACAATACGTCCTGCGGCCTTCCTCCCTTTCTATATATGCTAACCAAATGACCTGTATGTCCAAATTCACACCCTGCCCCCGATTCATTTAGTTTTTAGTTTTTATGTTTTGCTTGCATGGTGCCATGGAGTCAGAAGAGGGTGTCTGAGTCCCCTGGAACTGGAGATAAGTATGGTTGTTAGTCACCATGTGGGTGCTGGGAACTAAATCCAGGCTCTCGGCAAGAGCTCTTCACCACTGAGCCATCTCTTCAGCCTCTCAATTCACACCTTTTCAAAACCCTTTGAAAACCAGTACAAACATGTCTATTCTCTCTCTTCTCTGAAGAGCCTTGTACGAGTCTCTTGCTACAGTAAACTATAACTGATTTTTATAGTCTTGTCTCTCTTCTTGTTAAAATATATACATTAAAGGCATAGGGGCTTTTTCACTAATTCCCTCCTGCCAAATACACCTAGTCATTCAATAAATGACTGTCTAAATTAACATCAACATGCTTTATTTTAAAATGCGATTTATGTTTTCAGCATCAACACTTCCTTTCAGAGAGCAATCATTAGATCACATACATGAAGAGTCAACTGAGCACGTAAGAGGAGACAACCCGGGTATTTCTCCTCAGATTCTACAATTAGCCTCAAACAATGTGCAGCCCGATAACACTTTTCACCCTAACCGGCGTAATAAGGCAAGAAGCTTTAGGTGATGGCGTAGACTTAAGATCTAACTGTGAGACTATCAGTTAACTCCAAATCAGAGCATCCAGGAAATTACAGGCAAAGGATGAGTAGAGATAAAAGTTCATTTCTGCAGACTTCCAAATTCCTCTCTCACTTTAAAAAAAAAAAAAAAGGAGAAATGCCATTTATCGTTTTCTGCTGACCAGCTAAGAAAGATACAAATGAGCACTTAAAAAAAAGAAAGAAAAAGAGAAGGCCTCAAGAAAGATGGAAATGCAGTGAGTGGGACATGCACCTCCTGGATATCAACCTGTGAACAATTAGAAAAGTGCGGAAAATGCTACTTTAAAGGCAGCATACAAACTATCTTTACAACAGTTTTACTCATAGGAAAACCATTTGCCTCTTATCTCAGTGAGCTCAACTATCTGAAAATCTCACTATTTATTCAAAAGGCCTCATTTCTATAGGTAGTGTTTAATTCTGTTTGTAAAATAACACAACTCATTCAAAGTAAAAGGACTAATAATAAAGCCTGCTAAAAATGTGTGCCAAAACCTCTACCACTGTGATTATTACTGTACTCACAAATTAACAAGTGTCAAACTCCAAAAAGGCAACTTGAACCAAAATAACTAAATACCCACTGCTCAACAAAAAGAAGCCCAATAGCTCTTTTGTGTTAGCGACACTAATTTTCTCTTTCTAGTCAGTTTCACGAGGCAGGAGATGCATCTGTGAGGTCCATATGCTTTGTTCCTGACGTGAAGGATGGCAATTTCTACTACTGCAAATATTAAAATAGATTCAATGATTATGGGAAATCTAAAAATAAATGGAAGCTATTGCTCCAAAATGATTTATTTTAACCAAAGTGTTCATTTAATATAGTGCTAAGTGGCCTACTTCCATCTATTGTGAGTTTCCAAATTATTAAATGGTAGGCCATAAAAGGAAATTACAATGAACTCTATTTCCAGTTTAAGAAGACTAAAGTTCATATATTTAACCATTAAGATTCGAATGCACATGAACCAACATCACATCAGTTTATTAGCTTAGGAATTAACAGTAACTTGTTAAAATCTCCAGTAGCCTCTGAAATCCAATGTTCCCATTCCCTCATCACCATGGATGCAAAAATCAAGGTAAGAATTCTCTTACTAGAATATCCATGGGAAAGGCTACTCTTCAGCAATTTAAACCTCAGCTTCTGAATGTAAGTAAGTGCAGCATCACACAGGCCCCCTCTACAAGGACCTGTACACAGAAGCAACCCTGACTTCCGTTCTTCATCCTACAGAAAAAATCAGCTATGATCCTACAAGTCTACTAAGAATGCACGTTATCAAAACCTATTATGTACAGTGTATAGGAGTTATTATAATAGATATTCCAGAATTAAGAGATTCATTTAGAAATCCTAAGAAAAATCTCGCCGGAGGGAAATTTCTCCGGACAGCTGTGCAATTTGTCATCATCTCTCTCTCTACAGCTGGTCATGAATGAAATTCTAGATTCTACTACGCAGAACAAATGAAGCAATTAATTGAAAGCGTTCAAACTGACACGGAGGCGGTGGGGGGCGGTGAGAGGGGAGGCAGATCCTGTGAAACCCAGTGAGAAAACAAAATAACCACGAACCAGATTGCGCACGCCACTGATTACAATAGATATCTTAATAGACTGTGCAGGTCACTGGCTGTTCGGAGGCATGCGAAAACCCAGGTACACACACCCACGGACTCCGAACCTACAGAACAGGTGGATCCACAAAAAAAAAAAAAAAAAAAAAAAAAAAAAAAAAAAAAAAAAAAATCTCCACAGGAAGGAACTGAATAGTTTTCGGTTTAATTATTCATCAGGCCAGCCTCTCACTTCACCCAGAGGTAAAAAACCCAGAGCCTCTTTTTAAATCAGCCTTGGCAACTCTGCACACGCTGGGGTTTTGGTTTTTTTTTTTCCAGAAAAAGCGAAATCTGACATGTCTATCACTGGGCGCGAAGAGAATTCATCTCCTTGCAAGCAAAGGAGGGTCGGAGAAGAACCGGGTTTGGGGACAGGAACCGGGCTGGAGCTCTCGGGGGGATGAGGCACGCAGTGCCCAGCGGGTTAGAAGTCGGGGTCCGGGATCTGGGAGCCCAGGAATGGGGGGCGAAGGGGCCGCGGCGACGACAGGACGCCCTACCCAGCACGAGGCAGGAGACTGGCTTCAAGTGCCCGGAGGGCTGCGCGACCCGGGATCGTTCGGGGCTGAGCCCGGGAGGAGCCCGCGAGCGCGCAGGTGAGGGAGGGAAGGCGGGAGGGCCGTACCTGGTACTCAGGGTACTCGAACATGTAGCTCATGCTGCACTTGTTCTCCTCGAAGCCGAAGAAGACATCCCACAGCCCCAGGGTGGCCAGGAGCACCATGAAGACGTAGAACGCCAGGTTCCAGAGGTTGACGGAGTGGAGAAACATGGTGCAGCCGAGCACCCGGCCCCCCTCTACGGCTGCAAGGAGCCCGGGAGCAAAGGCAGAGCGAGGGAAAGACGCCCGCGCCAAGCCGTGCCCAGCCGAGCAGCGCGCGCCTGCGCGGAGCCCGCCAGCGCTCCCCCCCGCCGCCCCGCCCCCTCCTTCCCCGGCGCCCGCCCGCCCGCCCGCTCAGCGCGCCTGCGCGCAGCCGGCCCGCGGCACCGCCCACGGAGGAGGGCGCTGGAGGCGTTTGCAGCGGGAGCGCGCGAACGTGCGCCTGGGAAGATGGAGTGAGAACGCACCCGGGGTGGGCTGGGCGGGAGGGAGGGCTGAGAGAGAAAAGGGAGGGGGGCCGAGGAAAAGGGAAAGGGGGATGGAGTTGGGGAAAGGAAGGGAGGGAGGGGGGTGGGAGCTCGGGATCCCAGAGGCGGGAGGGGGAAGGGCCGGGTGGGTACCCAGGGGACCTGGCCGGGGGCAAGGATGACGCCCCAGAGTGCAGAGGGTGTTCATGATCCAGCGCTGCCTGGCCGTGGGAGGCAGACAGCGCATCAAAGGCCTGTCCAGGAGCTGTCACAGCGCAGACACCTTTCCCAGCAACAGTTTGAAATCCCTTCCTGTTCCATTTCCAACCGCCTTGGGCCACCTCCGCGGTTTCGCCTCAAGCCTTCTTGGACCGGTTTAGCTTGATTCCGGAGGAGATAAATGGCTTTCGACCAGGCCTCTTAGACCACTGACTTGGTTGGGCCTTGTGGGCAGTAATACTTGAAAGCACCGGCTCATTAAAACAAAACCCACAACAGTCAGAGGAAATCCTGGTCTTGGTGGAAGTCTAAACCACAGGAGGGGTACTCTCTAAAGGACACTACGAAAATGCCCACCAACATGGATGTCCCCCCTTGGTATGTGCAGGATCGGGTTGACACTGACATGGTCTCTGGGGCTCAGTTCCATATTAACGTTAGAAGGCAATTTTGCTCAAGCTTTCACTCTTTCTCTCTCGTGACTTAATTCATTTTGAAGGATTTCAGTTTGTCTTTACACAAAGAAGGGGGTTTAAAAAAGCAAGACAAACCCGTTTGTAATACAAGAGGTGTGTGTGTGTGTGTGTGTGTGTGTGTGTGTGTGTGTGTGTGTGTGTGTGTGTAGAGAGAGAGACAGAGATTCGTTTTACTTAAACTAATTTTCTAGCATATATTCTGGGAAAATTTGGCTATGATACATGAAATCAAAGAATTTTAAAACTGAAAAGAAGCTTATTGTTTATCTTAAACAAAACCCTGCTATTCACATTAAGAAGCTATGATCCAAAGGTAAAATGGTAGGATAGATATTTTACCCTACACAGAAACACTTATGGGTCCGAGCAAATACAGCCAGCTACAGAATACGGAATATTTGTGAAGAAAGGAGTGGAGGTAGATTTGGAAGGGCCAGAGTAGCATATGAGGGAACTCTGGGTAGTACTGACTAGTGGGGTAATGGTTAACGAGTATAAATTTAAGGCATGCCATGTATGTTTCTAATTTTGTGGTGTGCTCTCTTGGTGTATTAGATACTTGTCCTAGGCTGTGACGATATCCTTGCACGAGCAGCTTAAGGGGGGGTTCATTTTAGCTCACAGTTTCATAGCCTATCGTGGCAGCAGAACCTGGGGCAGGGGATTTAAGGCAGCAGAACCCGAGGCAGGCAGGCAGATTGCATCTGCAGACAGGAAGCAAGGAGAGAGGAAGGCTAGGGCTCGGCTCCCTTTTTCATTTTTATCTGGTTGGGAAGTTAGTGTGGTTTTTCCACTTTAGTGAACTTAATCTAGAATATCACTCCCAGACATGTCCGAAGATTTGTCTCCAAGGTGATTCTAATTCCATCCGTTTGACAAAATTAATCTTCACAACTCTTCCCCTTTGTCACCTTGACACTCCAACAGTCTTGCTTTAAAATAATTACCTTCTGCTTTGTGTTTCCATAGGATCACGGCCATCCCATAATGTAGATGCATTTATTTCAACTTTGAAAGTCCCCATAATCTTTGACAGTCCCAATACTATTCCAAAGTGTCTTTTCTGAGAATAAGGCAATCTTTTAACTGTGAGCCCCCGTAAAACAAAAACTTCATTACGTAGGTCCAACATATGATGGCACAGAGTGAACCTTCTCATTCCAAAAGGGAGAAATAAGGAAAGATCAGACCCAAGCAGACCAAACCCCAGCAGAGCAAACATCGTATTTCGCAACTCCAGAGCTCGTGATGAAATCTTCTGGGCTCTAAAAGGCCTAGGTAGTCCTGTCCCTCCTGCTCTGATGCCTGCAGAACACAAAGAACCTCTTTAAAAGGAAGTTTTATTTCTTAATTTTGTGCATGAATGTTTTGCCTGCTATATGGAAGTGTACCCCATATATGCATGTAGGGCCCACAAAGACCAGAAGACGTTGGATCCTCTGGAAATGGAGTTCCACTGGAGTTACAGACAGCTGTGAATTGTCACAGAGGTGCTGGGAAGTGAAGCCCGGTCCTCTGTAAGAGAAGCAAGAGCTGTTGACCACTTAGCCGGGTCCTCTGTAAGAGAAGCAAGAGCTGTTGACCACTTAGCCGCCTCTCCAGCCTCACCGCCACTCCCAAGTCAGCTCCACTCCATGCATGCATCTTTGGCAGACATCCCATGGTTCTGGCATCTCCAGCACCCTGGGGGTCTCTGCTGCAGCTTGGACTTGACTTTCATAGCTTCATACAACAGCATCTCAGGGACTCCAACTCTGCAAGATTGCCTAGGCTCAGTTGTGTAGCATGAATCCTTGCCAGTTCCTCAGCTGATCCTGTTTCCTCAGACTGGATGCCTCTCAGCTGAACTGTGCTGCTCAAAAACCTAAACGCTTAACCGGCTAGTTCCTGGTTTTCACGCCTTTATACCTTTCTGCCTCCTGCCATCACTTCCTGGGATTAAAGGCTCGTTACCACACCTGACCGTTTCCAGTGTGGCCTTGAACTTAGAGATCCAGACAGATCTCCGCCTTTGGAATGCTAGGATTAAAGGCATGTGCTACCATTTTCTGGCCTCTATATCTAGTGGCTGTTCTGTTCTCTGACCCCAGATAAGTTTATTGGGGTGCACAATATTTTGGGGGACACAATATCACCACACAGTTGATCTCTGAAACTACAGTATAAGACTCCATGATCTCTCTTCAGTCTTGTATCTTACATGCCTACCCAACTAGTGCCAGATTAGATGGCACTTCAAAGTTCTACTGTCAGCTCAGGATGGAGACTTACGTCCTTGGACCACAGCTACAGCAGCCCATTCTTGCTAACCACGGGGCTTCCTTAGGCAGGTGCTTTCCAGAAGCAAGGACCTCCTCCAGTGGCATTCTCATCTTGGGCTCTCCACTTTCAAATGAATTTTTGTTTTCCAAAAAAAGCTGGTGCCTTTGACATGTGGAGTCTTGCCCTCATTCATTATTCTATTATCCCAGTGAAGAGCAGAGGATTTCTCTTGAACAACTAAGCCTTGTTTTTAGTGTGTGCCTCAGCTGCAACACAAATTTGCCCAGTCTTCTTCTTTTTCTTTTTTTACAAACTATACATTAAATACAAATTCTGCCCACATTTTGCTCTTTGTTACTGTAGACCAGGATAAATGTGATGAACAAAAACCATGCACAGGCTGATGCTAGCCTGCCTTGAAATTTCCTCTGCCAAACAGTCAATTTTTTTTTGTTTGCTTTGCTTTACTTTGGTGGTGGTGCTGGTGGTTTGGAGGGGGGGGGGGTTGTTAATGTTTTGAGACAGCGTCTCGATCTGCTGCCCTGACTGGACTGGAACTCTGTGTAGACCAGGCTGGCCTTGAACTCCTGGAGATGCACCTGCCCTTGCTTCCTGAGTGCTAAGATTAAAGGTGTACTCCACCATGCCTAACTAATCAATTATTTTTATATTCCACTTCGCTTAACTTCCTTGGGACATGTGCAGAATGCAGCTTGATTCTCTGCCTGAATATAACACGAACGTCACCTACCCTGTTCCCCAGAGCTCCCATCCTCCTCTGGTACCTCAGAAGTCAGACGTCCACTATCCACGTCTTTCTTAACTCCTACCAGAACAGCCCATTAAGCTCTTTGCACCTCAAAGAGTCTTTCTAACCCAAAGTCCCAAACTCTCACACATTTCTCTTACAAATCTATTCCAAAGGCCTAAGAACCACATGCCCAGGCTATGACAGCCACAGCCCCACTCCTGGTCCCAATTTTCTGTATTAGTTGTCTTGTCATTATGACAGAAATACCCTAACAAAGGCCGCTTTTTAAAGGGCAGAGTTTATTTTGCCTCACGGTTCCAGGGCGCAGTCTATGACGGCTTGAAGCAGCTAGTCTTGTTGCAGCCACAGTCAGGAAGCAGCAAGAGACAAAAGCCCGTGATCACCCCCTTTCTCCTTTTTATTTGAGCTGGATGTTATGATGGGCTCCCTACTACAGTTAACTGAGTCTAGAAAATCCTTCACAGAAATGCCCAGAGATTTGACTCCGAGGTAATTTTAAATCTCAACAAGTTAATAAGATTAACCATCAACTGAGGAAACTTTTAAATTGTGTTGATAAGAATAGGAGGTGCTAAATTTTCAGAATCACACCAACTGGACTAGATTATGGAAACAACCTGTTTTACATAAGGACAATGTTTAGCGCTAAATATGCTAATGAGGATATACTATAGATTGAGCCCACAAAATGAGAACACTTAGGGTGTAGCATGAAATTACCACTTAGTGTAGAGGATTATGAATCATGTGGGAAGGAATTTAAATTCTAGATTAAAAGAGGAGAAATGTATTGAGTCTACATGCTTAGGAGTATCACAGACTGAACATTGATTTTTATTTCTCCTAGCATATTATAGGCAATATTATAATAAATAAATCATGGATGATCACATACCCCCTTATCAATCTATTAAGTATTTCTTTTTTAAAAAACAAAGATTATTTTTAGGTTTATGAGTGCCTACATGTACATTATATATGTACATACCTTGTACCCATCGAGGGCAGAAGGGGACTGGATCCCCTGGAACTAGAGTTTCAGATGGTTATAAGCTGCCATGTGGGTTCTGGGAGCCAAACCTAGGTCCTCTGTAGAGTTAAAGTTCCCTTCACTTCTGAACCATCTGTAGTCCTCCAGTCAGTGTTTTTTAAACTTAATGAACATGTGAAGCATTTGAAATTTTTGTTTAAAAGTGAGTCCTGATCAGTAGTTCTGGAATGGGACCCAAGACTTGGCTGTCTCACAAACACCTAAGTGGTGACAACAATGCTGGTCAGTGTTGTTCAGGTTTCTACCGCCCCATGTTGCAACACCAAAATGTTTTTTCTACTCTGTTGGATGTCTGCCACCCAGCTCCCACATAAATACACAGAGCCTTTTTCTTAATTATAAATGTCTGGCCTTAGCTTGGCTTGTTTCTAACCAGCTTTTCTTAACTTTAAGTATCCCAGCTACCTTTTGCCTCTGGGCTTTTACCTTTCTCTTACTTCTGTATACCTTAGTTTCACTCTTAATCTGTGGCTGGCCCCTAGCATCCTCCTCTCCTTGTTCTCTTGTTCTGTCTTCTTTTTCCTTTTTTCTCCCAGATTTCTCCTTCTATTTATTCTCTCTGCTTGCCAGCCCTGCCCATCCTTTCTTCTGCCTTGCTATTGGCCATTCAGATATTTATTAAACCATCAGGTGTTTTACACAGGCACAGTAACATGGCTTCACAGAGTTAAACAAATGTAACATAAACAAAAGTAACACTCCTTAAAATAATATTCTACAACAGGTCAGTAGACTGCACTTTCAGTAGCAAAGATATATGCTCCCTGAGGACAGCTGCACAGAGAACAACTGAACCTAAAGATGCTGGAGCTTACTTGTCTAGGGGCTTTCATAAATTGTGGCAGCCTCCTTGATCATTCACTGTGTGGTGTGAAGGTACTCATCACTGTGTAGTGTGAAGGCATGCATGACAGGAAGTGAACACATCATGTTCAGAATCCAGGCTGCAATAAAGCTGTGGGATGCCACAAGAGTCAGCACTAAAAGAAACACCTTGGATCTGGTGTGCATTTAATTTTGAATTGAGTTTTGTGTGTTGCATGTTCAGAACCCTTCATTGTTGTAAAAATTTTGCTGTTCCCGTATTTAGTCACAGGACCCCAAGACGGAAAACTACCCCCAGTTTAAGAAGCTGTGCTATATGTCCTGACTTGTTGCTTTACTTTGGAGTCCTGAGATCTATCTACAAATCACCTTTATGTTTATCACTGAGTTTCTCTTACAACCAAGAGAACCCTGACCATAGTCCAAGTCCTAAGGAACTACTGACTAATTTAAAAAACCCTTAAATTTTTAAATGTATTTAATGTGTACAATATGCTTTTGCTTACATGGATGTGTGTGGTTGGTGTCACGGAGGTCAGAAGCAGGTGTAGGGTCTCTTGGAACTGAAGTTATAGATGGTTGTCAGCAACCAGGTGGGTGCTGAGAACAGAACCCAGGTCCTCTGCAAGTGCTCTTGACCTCTGAGCCAACTCTCCAGCCCCTACAAATGATTAACTTTTTAATTTTTAGTCTTTTGAGGCACTATGTTTACAGGTTGGCCTGATTCTCCATTTTGCTGCCTCAGCTTAGAGTCACAACTACTACTGGCCTCTGAAGGATTGAATGATGACTGAGAGTTAAAATCATGGAAGTTGTAACATTTAGTGTATGAGAGGAAAGAAAATTACATGGTATGGAGGGAAAGCCCAGATTAGTAGGAGAAAATACCATGGAAAATGGCTTTAGCGAAAGTGGGGGACCAGGCAGGTCAGGAAAGTGTTCAGTTTGCTAATTAGGTCAATGGTTATCTTCACAAGAAACATACTACTGAGGTTGGGGGCAAGTTTTACTCTTTGTAAAGTGTGACTGGAAGGTACGGTGGAAGAGAGGGCACACCACAGCTTTAGGACTGGGTTGAGAAAGTGGGAACTACACGTAATAACTACAGAGAAGTGGTTTTTCTTTTTACTAAATATGGGAACAGTAAAATTTTTACAAAAATGAAAGGTTCTGAATATGCAACATACAATGCACACCAGATCCAAGGTGTTTCTTTTAGTGCTGACTCATGTGGCATCCCACAGCTTTATTGCAGCCTGGATTCTGAACATGATGTGTTTACTTCCTGCCATGCATGCCTTCACACCACACAGTGATGAGTGCCTTCACACCACACAGTGATGTGTGCATGCCTTCACACTACACAGTGATGCGTGCATGCCTTCACACTACACAGTGATGCCTGTCTTCACACAGTGATGCATGCATGCCTTCACACCACACAGTGATGCGTGCATGCCTTCACACCACACAGTGATGTATGCTTGCCTTCACACCACACAGTGATGTATGCTTGCCTTCACACCACACAGTGATGTATGCTTGCCTTCACACCGCACAGTGATGCCTGCCTTCACACTACACAGTGATGTGTGCATGCCTTCACACCACACAGTGATGCCTGCCTTCACACCTCAGTGATGTGTGCATGCCTTCACACCACACAGTGATGCATGCTTGCCTTCACACCGCACAGTGATGTGTGCATGCCTTCACACCACACAGTGATGTGTGCATGCCTTCACACCGCACAGTGATGTGTGCATGCCTTCACACCACACAGTGATGTGTGCATGCCTTCACACCACACAGTGATGCCTGCCTTCATACCACAGAGATGTGTGCATGCCTTCACACTACACAGTGATGTGTGCATGCCTTCACACCACACAGTGATGTGTGCATGCCTTCACACTACAGTGATGTGTGCATGCCTTCACACTACACAGTGATGCCTGTCTTCACACAGTGATGCATGCATGCCTTCACACTACACAGTGATGTGTGCATGCCTTCACACCACACAGTGATGCCTGCCTTCATACCACAGAGATGTGTGCATGCCTTCACACTACACAGTGATGTGTGCATGCCTTCACACCACACAGTGATGCCTGCCTTCATACCACAGAGATGTGTGCATGCCTT